CAAATCAATCCGTTGAAAATATTTTGCTGCATACTTTTAGACACCTTTATTTCAAATCTTTATTAACGTCAAGGTCTTACAAATCTTTTAATTAAATATGCTAGCAAAGGTTCTTCTGCTTTAAAACTCAATGGCTGCTTCATAATTGTGAAAAATATGTCTTTCCCACTCCCCTGAAGCGCATAACTCGCGTTTATGTCTTTATTAACGAACCGCAACCGAAAGTTGCCAAGCAGATCCAATAAAAATATTAATGACGACTAATAAAAAGAGTGAGTATAATATCCGCCAGCCAGCAGGCAACAAAACGATTAACCCAGAAGGGTCTTAACAACTGCTCCCGAAAAGAGTCTAAAACCAAGAAATATGCAACGAAAATAACAAGAAAATACTTGCTGTTAACGATAACAAATCGCCGACGGTTAACAAGCGGCATTAATTCCCATTCGCGGAGGCATTTATTGGCTAATTAAAGTGGGTGGATGGGAAATAGCCAGCCAGTTCCAAAAACCAGCCCCCGGCTATCAAGTCAAGGAATAACGAGGCAATTAATAATTTTTGACAATTTACACAACATTGCGCATCGGTTAAGATAAGATATGAAGGCCCCCGCGGGTGCAAAACCCTTTAGTAATTTGTCCATTTCTCTAATAATTTCATCAACAGTACGCTCTCTTTGTCTTTAAATTTATATTTGTTTTTAACTGCGCAAAAAGTGAGGACGCTTTTCTTTTTTTCCTTTGATTTTCCTCTGCGGCTGACAACTTCAAGTGCGGTTGCCCTTTTCACGATTTTCCCTTTTTTTTCAAAAACAAACCAGCTGCTCCACCCATTTGCCATTCCATCAGTTTGTTTATTCGCTCAACTTGCGTTAAAATAAATCAATTATTTTAATTCACGATGACAACTCGCGTCATTTTCAGGCCAACTTTTTTGCCCGCTGCTCTCTTGACATGGGATAAGGATGCTGAAAGGATGGCACAAAAACGGGGATGAGTAGGGAATGTCATGCATAAAATGTCAATAACAGATATGAATACGAATGATTGAAAGCGAAAAGAGGAATTAAGGAAATATATTTTAGGGTGTTCTACTATTTTTGGCTTGGTTTTAAAGTTTGGTACACCTATTATTTAAATAAAACGAATTTTGTTAAGATATTTCTTTATAATTATATTGGTATTTTGGAACACATAAATCAATTGGGTTTGAAATCACTTATGCAATTAAAAAAGAAGCGATCTAAAATCTCAATAAATATTTTCAAAAAGTTAGTAATTTCAGTGGCACCCTCGATTGTTTTCATACATTTATAGTATGAAGCCTTTAATAAATTAAATAAAAATGTATAGTGCCAAAAAGAAGTACTCAAAAGGTTTTGGCAGCACTCAAAAATGCGCCTGCCACGCCCGTTGACTGCCAGCCCCCAAAAAGCCCGCACACATAGATGCATGAAATGCCATTTGGCAATTTCAATGTTGTATCCTTTGGCAAACACACGGAGTCCGAGGGAGACGGAGCACTAAAAGCGCCTGGATATCTACATACACTCGTATATCCATTTCGCTTTTTGGAGGATTCTTCGCGTGCCATGTTAAGAGCTGCAGCAACAATAGCAACAGCAACAGCCATTGTGTATTACATGCGTGTGAACCAAAACTCAGACAAGAGGATTTCCCATTTCCACTTTCCCCCGGCCCACCAAACATTTCCATTCACAATCAAACACATTCACAATCGCAAAATGGAATTGTTCATTTTCCAACTTTGGCATCGGGTAAGCACTTTTTGTGTTTATTTATTTAAGTGTTATTTCGTTTTACTTTCTGGGCATGTGAGTGTGTGTCTGCGTAAATTGAGTTATAAACAAGTTTTTTGAAAATTGTTTAAATGGAAAGAACAGATTGAATTTCCTCCCGTCGAGGGGCGTGGGCCACTTGAGCTTATGTCAAGTGGAAAATCGTTTTGTTGTAAATGCCGGCGCTCGTGTGCGTGCACTATGAATATATTTTTGAACATCTTGATTTATTTATATATGCAAATCGCCCAGTGTCCTCCAAAGGGTTCATCCGCTGGGATATCTCCCGACTATAAAGTCGCCTAATTTCGTTACAAAAGTGTGGGCGCTCTTTGATTGGCTGTTTTCTTGGCTTCACTTATCCGAGTTTCCACTTGAATTGTGTCTCCTTTGGTTTTCTTTTATTGGCTTCATCATTTTGATTCAAGAAGTGAAGTTACGATAGCTGTTGATGAAGTAATAAAAGAGGAATTTGTATTTACAATCATATTTTAGCAAACTATTTGAGTGTAAATCGAACTGCACTCAACTGTTGCAGAAGTGTACTTTTATTTACATTTTTCAGAATTTTTAAGATATATTACTGTTTTAGGGTGAATAAAAGAAAATGTATTATTAATCTTTCTTTAATGTAAATAATAATGTTATAATCCCATTTTCCTGTTTAAAGTAAAACTATGAATATTTTGTAAGTTCATAGAAACCCGAAAATGGATGCCACCCTCCGGATATTTTCCTTCCTGTTATTTTCAACTCTTTGAAAGCATTTTCCAGACTGCATTCGAGAGAAGCCCTTGCACAGATAAGCTGGGAAATTAAACGAGCTGATATCTTGGCACTACCCCCTCAGCAGCACCGCTCTCCTTGAAATTGGCTTTGTTCTGGCTGCAAGTTCAGCACTTGGTTGCCACAATTTATGCATTTTCCATGGCATTAACGTTGAAAGGCGTCGCAAATGAAATGCCATTCAAAAGGCTTTTGCTTCTGCGTTTGCCTTCTCAGTTCGGTTCGGCTGCTCTTGTCTGGTTAGCTGGGTTACCTGGTTAGCAGTCCACCCTCAATATCCACCTCCCACTTGGCCACTCCCCAAAAGGTCACGCAAATTAGTGCAACAACAAAAACTCGGAGCAACGGAAAAGTTTCCTGAACAGCAGACTCCATCTCGATGCTGGTTGTAATCCTGGCTGGCGAAAACTTGTAAAAGTAACTAGATAACGCAGCAACCAACAAACTAAGTAGTTTTACAAAGGGGGGAAATGCGGGGGGAATCCCAATAAAACCTCAAAGGATATTCCTGAAAATTAGACGGAACCAGCTGAAAAAGGGGTTCAATGACCTCACTTAGTGTTCGATTCAAACCTCTTTTGATTAGCTGATTGGTTAAACCATAATAAAGATATTAAATAAAATATATTTATTAGAGAATAATAACAAAATAATTGAACAATAATAAAAACCATTAGAATATTAAAAAACCATTATAATTAAAATGGATTAATTATGGTTTTTTATAGCCTCCTATGAGTAAATTAATAATTTATAAATATTAAAACAAACTTGTATACTAATTTACTTACAGTTTAATCAGACTACGAATCCAATCTTACTTATATGTCCCAATTACTTTATGAAAGATTAAACTACTTTTTTCCCAACTAATTGCTTGAATATTAATAACTTTTCCCAAATCTCAGTCGCTTGTCACAAACATCGGTGGAGAGCCCCATGCCATGCGTTAAAATAATTAATAAGCTAATTAATCTATAATAATGTCAAATAATGAGCCAATATTTGAGCAAATATTGGCGGAGGAAAATTGCGACGAGAAAAGCGACAGGAAAGCGGAAAAGAGGAAAATTTGTGTGCGAGGGTCTCTGTGTGTGAGCTCATTGAAATGCCATCATTATCGTGCTCATCATCGTTTACATGGCAAGTGCCTCATGGTTGCATGCCGCAAACGCTGCCGCTTCATTATCCTTATTACTCCTTTCGCAACAGTTCCCCAATCTGGCCGCACATGTGTGTGTGCACTGGGAAAAAAATACCTGCCAGCATCCTGTCTACAATGACAGATATATTTTTTACATAAAAGGATATCATTATGTTTTTTTTTATTTAATATTATTATTATAGTACAAAATACTTATTTATTTATTTGGAAAAAAATTTAATCAAAATGATATGTGAAAAGTCACTGACAGCTGTCATTTGCAACATAATCGAATTATGATTTCATAAATATACACTTAATATTTTTTTTGCTGTGCAGCTATCTCAGTCTGCGCTGGCGGGTTATTGTTTCCATTTTGATTTATGTCTGGCATCCTTGGGCTCCTCTTGGCCTCGTCTACTATTTTAACGTTGTTAACCAAATTGCATAAATTAAGTGCGTTCGTCTGCTCGAGTGGCTTTGGTTCTGGCTCGAGTCCTCCGCTCCAGTATTTCTGGGCTCTGGCTTGAAGGCTCCCACGTCCCTCGTCCTGCGTCCTTTATCCTTCGTCCTGGGCTGCATTTGTGTTGCTAATGTGCGCACATTAGACGCACATGCTGCCAACTCCTGAATTGTGTTTGCTTTTTCACTCTCCTCTCATTTTTTCTCCTACGAAAAAAGAGGGGAAATCATGTAAAGCAGCTGGAATATTTTATAATTGGCATGTAAATGCATCAGCTTATGTAATCCTTTCCCGGCTATAATGAAATATTTTTATATTTTTATTCCGCTTTGCCCTGGCCTGTGGCTGAATGAAGTCATGTGTGCAAGGCTAAAAGTCATTAAGATTAAGTTTGAACTAATTGTTTTAACATGAATGAACTCATTAAATTACGGAATTCGTTTAAGCTTATGGTTTTTAATTGAGAAAAAAACATAATTTTTTTAATAAAATATACACTTTATACGTGAAGACCTTATACCAACTGAAATATCACAAATAATGCAGTCAGCAAATATTCTACACTGCGTGACTCTAATTTTCTGCTACTTATCGGAATGAATGAATATCAATTGGACCAATTTCAGTTTCCCCAATCAACGAAAAATGTGTTGTAAATATTTGTCTAGCTTTTGTGCAAACGTTCTAGAGCTCAATAGAAAATTGCCCCTAATACCCGCTCAATTATTGTAATAATATTTACTATTGACATATCGACTATATAAGTGCGGTGCGGACTAGAGTTTTCAGTTTAAAAGTATTAAACGAGCAATGAAATTGCTGGTCTGTCATTTGCTATTCCTGGGCTTTATTTGCCTAGGTCGCAGTCAGGACGATAGCGAGAATGTCAGAAGGATAATGAAGGAAATGGAGGTGATCCCGGAAATTTTAGACGAGCCTCCCAGGGAATTACTTAGGGTGAGTAATATATTTATTTAATAATGTCAAAATTATTTTGATTTCTTTGGAGTCCTAGATAAAATATGACAACACCTTTGACATTGAGGAGGGAAAGTCCTACACTCCTACAGAGCTCAAGTTCCAGCCCAGGCTCGATTGGAATGCGGATCCCGAGTCCTTTTACACCGTGGTTATGATTTGTCCCGATGCTCCGAATCGGGATAATCCCATGTATCGCTCCTGGCTCCACTGGTTGGTGGTCAATATTCCCGGCTTGGATATAATGAAGGGTCAACCGATTTCGGAATACTTTGGTCCTCTTCCGCCAAAGGACAGTGGAGTCCAGCGGTATCTCCTTCTCGTGTATCAGCAGTCGGATAAACTGGACTTCGATGAGAAGAAAATCGAGCTAAGCAATGCCGATGGTCATAGCAATTTTGATGTCAAGAAATTCGCGCAGAAATATGAAATGGGATCGCCCGTGGCGGGAAATATATTCCAATCCCGGTGGGATGAATATGTGCCGGAATTGATGAAGACACTCTATGGTGTCAGCGAGTGAAGATCGAAAATTAAGTGGTTCTCGAGCGGTTGTTTTGTTCCTTGGTTGAGTTCTTAAGTTTTATGTTCCCTGTTTTTGTTAAATAAAGTGATTTAGTTAGTCATGAGCATTCCAAATGAGGATTTTGAATTTAAATAAAGGATTATTATTATACTTTTTTTTAAGTATTCCCCCCAATCGCTCTACTGACTGCAAAACTGGTCCACTTGAGGGATTAGCCAACTGCAATGATACACTCTACCTAAATTTCCCTCCAACGATTTGATTGACTGGCTACATTTTCTAAATCCCCCAAGTAAAAACGAAAACAAAAAGAAAAACAGAATCAGAAACCCCAAGCCAGTTTTGCACTTGGCACAAAACTCACTTAAACTTTGCAATCATGATAGGACGTAACGTTAGATTTCCATTTATATAAACTCGAGCAAGTGTGAAAGGTGCAACTTTCACGGGGGGCTGGAGAAAAGGAAAGGAAAGAAAAGCCGCCCGGGGGAGTGGAGATTCCTCCTCCAGTTTCCACTCAAATAGTAACTAAACGCAGTCGAGCACAAAGCGCTTTTTGTGGGCAATGGCAAATAACCTTAAGGTTAAGATTACAAGGTAATTTGATTCAATTCGAGTGATAGGCGTGCCAAGGCAACAACAAACGGCCCAAGATGGAAACGGAGATGAAGACGGTTTTCCAAGCAGGGAAGTGGAAAGCAGGGGGGGTGAAAGCCCGGTGTCGGGCCAATTTCCCCAGTTTCAGTCGGATAGATGACAGTGTCAAGATAGGAATTGTTGCAGCTTTGCTTTTGCACCCCTCCAGCCAAAAAGTCGCCCCTTCTTTCAATGAATTCTTTTTCTGTGCCTTTCCGGCTTTCTTTTTGTTGGTATTTCTGTTTATCAGCTGGTGTATAAATTTGCCTTTATTTTGACATATTTAGTGGCGGTTCCAAGACAATTGTATCGCCGATAAAAAGCACAGAGATCTGGCTCCGATTTGGTCGTTACTCCATTAAAACGGCATACAATAAGGCAAAAGTGGCCACAATATCAGAGCCGAATAATTGGATTTAGTTGGAAATGGAAGTGTATTATTGTCATGTGAATAAATAATAAAAAATCTCATAGCGAGGGAAGAAGAAGTCGTGACGATAAGCCCAATATAATATTTTGTAATTTCGACTAAATACGTTTTCTAAAATTCGCTTTATTTTGGCTTCGCAGTAGGGAAATCAGCCATTAATACTCATCAGTTCTTTTCTGGATGTGCGTACATAATTTTACAAAACTATACAAATAACTATAGAATAAGATATGCCTTCTAGTTCCAGTTCTTTGAGACGGTCTACATTTTTGGGCAAAAGTCCACGTGCAGGTGGTGGACTAGGTAACGTATCTGGGAGCAATTCTCCTTTATAATTTTAACACTATCTGGGTCTATGTAGGCCACGATTTCAACGTGCTCCGCTTCGGGGAAAATCACTTTAGACTCGTAATCAGGGCTGCAAGGATCCAGTGGTATTTGATTCACGACACACCACTTGCCGGTGTTCAAACCGTTGTATCGTTCAAACTGAAGAAAGATCTTGCAGAGTCGCCTCTCCTCCGTCATTATTGGTATGACAAAGGACACCCTCACCAATACGAAGTGGCGAATGAAGGATGTGCATTTGAAGGGCGGACAAATCGCTTGAGTTTCCTTGATGATCCACTCCTTTGAGTGTTCGTCCGTGCAAAAGATCAGCAGACTGCAGTCGGAGTTCTCCACCGCAGTGCATTCGCTGAAGCCCAGCGAGCTTACTTCGTCCTCAGACTGCTCGAAGCGTTTTAGCAGGAACTTCAGGACACAGCTGTAAACGCAGTTGAGCGGATCCTCTTCGTTGCTCACCACGATTCCATACCTCCTGTCCTCCGGATGAACTTTGGCGTACGGAGGTCGGTTTATGCCCCCTTGGCAGCAATCGCGATCACAGTTGGGCGGACATCGATCCGAGTCCGATACACTGACTCCCGAGGAAGTGCTGTTGCCACTGGGAGAGTCGCCGACACTCGACTCCGAGCCCATGGAAGTACGCGTTCGCATCGAGCCCGACATACTGCACCCCGATGTATCCATGACCGTAAAGAAAGCGTTTTTTTTAAATAAATTTTGAGATCAAAAGAATTTTTCAGTATTTTGGTAGTGCACAAATTTTACTGCTTAAAAATATTACACTAATTTAGCAGAAACGAACTGTATTGAACTAATGATTTTTGGTCGATGTGTCTGAAACATTCACAGCCTAGGGTAATGGGCAAAGGGTGAAGTCACAGCCTACTTTTGACAACAACTTTTGAAACTGTATTATTAATTCAAAATTTATTTTATTAATATACGTTTTTCTCCTTTAATAAACCAAATATTTATAAATACAAAAAACCTAATAATATTTTAATAAATATTTTTGTCAGTTGTATAATAGTACCTCTCAAAACTCTTGATGACACAAATTTTCTTTGAAAATACAGCATCATTGCTGCTTATAAACCTATCATAAATTTCCCACGCTTCATCTTACCGAGAGCTTTGCTCTAATTTCACGCTCGCCTGATCTCACTATTATATAAGAACCAGTTTTTTCCACCAAGCTGCCAACGGGCGTATGAGTAATCTGGCCAGGCCAAATCCCAACTCCCAAAAGCCCCATCTTTTGCCGGCTCTTCGCTATCCTCGATTTTTTGCGGAAAAACTTTTCTTCTTATTATTTATCCCATGTGACAAATTTGGTGCACAAGATTTTTGCCTCGCATAATAAATTATGCCTTGCAGTTGCGAAGAAAAGAAAAAAATCACTAAAATTAAATTATAGGAGGAAGAAGATGAGGGAAAATGCAAGAGTTGAAAGTTCGCCATCGTTCGGCGGGATATGAAAGTTTTCCGTTCACGTTTTAATTTAATAATCGCTGTCTGGAGTCGTTAAGTTGGGGCAAAGTTTTTCCGGCTAGTTTACCGGATTTGACATTACACTTAATCGCTCAAAAATGCTTTTAATTGGAGCGTTGTTTGCCTGAATAAATCATGTAATAAATAAACAAGCCGGCACACTTGTTGGCCATGCATTATTTATGCCCCGAATCAATAACTGTGACACTTTGGCTAGCATTTCGCATGCATGGCAATGACTGATGCAGATGAGCAGGACCTGGACGCACAGGACCAGTCAGGATGAGCCAGGACGAGGAAAGTTGGGTAGTTGGGAGGACCAAATTTCCAAATGTCCGAACCTGCAACCGGCAGCCTGGCTCCTGTCACACAGTTAAAATGTGATAAATTCCATTAAGTGACAGAGAAACGCACACGAAATGCAAACGTAAACGGTATTTGGGTTTAGAGATGGGCAAAACGGTCGACATTAGGCCATAAATTATTGCGATTCATACGGGTGCTTTAATAACGAACCACTCAAAGGTGATTCATTGTTTTATTTTGTGATTTTAATGAATGTTTTTTTCAAATAATAAATCAAAAACAGTTTTGTAGATCTTACTTTATTAAATTAAATTGTGATTATACAATTTCAGAATATGGAACGATTTGTCTGAATTTAAATTAATTTTAATAATGTTTAGTATATTTAACATAGTTTTTTAAAATTATTTCTGTAATTATTTTTTAGCAACAAAATGTGAAAAAAATGTAACAAAATATTTTTCATCTCTAGATTGTAGTGCTTTTGCATAGAAATGTTTTAAATGGACAGGCAAGAAATCCATTTGGTGTGTGGCGCCAAATCAAAATGTACCAGCCAGCAACAGAAGCACACACTCTCTGGCCTGTCTACCCATACAAACTCATCCATAGACTGTAAACATCAAGTTGAATGTTGCATGTTGCACATTGAAAGCCAAAACTGACACCAGCAGACATTTAGTACGCATCGCATATTGAAATTGTAATTTGATTTCTGCCTTTTGCCACCAACTGTCCAACTTTCCATCCGTTTTCCAGCTGTTGTATTCCTCTCTCCCTCCCCCTCCTTCTAAATTTATATTCCCCCGATTGAGTGGTTTTTCTATACCAGTTTGCATGCCCCAGAGGTCCTTGCCCCTAGTCCTGACGGTTGCGTATTTTGCAACTGAATAAACGCCATTGGAGCTTAAGGGCCAAAACTGGGTCAAGCCAAAAAAGGGGAAGAGCAATTAAAAAGGACTGCAATGTATGGTTGTTTAGTAGGACAGAAATTTTGCATTGGGTATAAATATAAGTTTCTTAAAGTCGATTTTGAAAATATAAAATATTTATTTAAATTTTTCCATCAAAAACGATTTTTATGTGGAAAACTAAAATCTTTTTTCTTTTCTATGAGTGCATCAGCACTCTCAATTTTTTTATAGAAATATATTATATATATTTTTGTGTAGAAAGTTTTACTAAAAAATATATTATTTAAAAGCTCTTAAACACAATTTGCGCAGAAACAATAGCTGGTAAAACGGGCTTATCTGAGTACAGCACACCTGAGGAAATTCCTGCACCTGACTCGCTCCATCAGGGTATCAGAACCCTCTGCTCTCCCACTTCCCATAAAAAAGCCCAGCCCGGCTGCACTTGTGTGCTGACAAAGCCTCTTGGGGCACTTAAATCATTATTTAATTTGAATTTAAAATGCAGCAAGGAATTTTCCACGGCTGTCGCTGTTTGTCGTCTGGAAACAAAGCGCGGACAAATAAATAAAATAAAATGGCAAACTCATTACAGGCCGACTGCTTGCTGGACTGCGACGACGATGATGTTAATGACGATGATGATGATGTGGCAACAAGTCGGAGTCGGGCATCACTTTCAACAATGCCCCCTGCACACGCACTCACACACAGTGAGGGCGAAAAAAAAGTGGCTAACAAAGGCACAATGGGACCCAGGACCCAGGACCCACCGTCGCCCACTGTTGAGCTCTCCCACTTGGCTGCCTGCATTGTTGATTTTCAGTTTAAAGGGGGGAGGGGGCGGCGGAAGAGCGGGGTACCGGAAAAGCGGGGGAGGAAACAACGCCAGCGGCATCTGGGGCATTGATGCCAGGTGACAGACGGCAAAATGCAGGCGCGTCCTTCTGTGAGCCACTGTGTGTGCAATTTTCAGCCTGCATATGCCGCCGTTTTCCAGCTAATTGCCGGCTATTTACATTTTAAATCGCAAGAAACTTTAATGCAAACTTTGACCGCAAATGCCACTAAGTTTCGCTGACTGGTAAAAAAGTTTTAATTTCAGTTACTACGGATAAATAGTTAATTTGCTGTTTAGCTTTTTAGCTATGTGGATACGTTTTATTTTAAACATTATTTAACATAAAAAAGAATAATAAAAAAAAATATTCTCAGTAATAATTATAAATATTTTTTTGATGCAAATCCAAACTCTTCAAAAAGATGTTGTAAGCCCGTTATTAAGTTGATTCCATTAGTAATAGAAAACTTAAAGAAAGTCTTCCCCACAAATTTGGTTTTGAGCTGGCGACGTCATGAATATGAAATGTGATTTCGTCATTTTCAAGTTTCTGGCACCTGAAATATGTCAATCCTTTGTCGTTTCTGTGGCTCACCTCACTGCAAGTGACAAGTCGAGAGGGGGAACAACAAATATTTTGCCGGCAATCTCGATGAGGGTTCTGCCTCTAGTCAACCTGCTTGGGTATTCAAGAAGTATGAAAACGCCTCTCATTTTTTTACAGAGTATTAAATAGGATAAAAGGTATATTGATTTTGAGCAAACAAGTATTTAAAATATCATATCTTAGCCATTGGTATTATTGAATGATCTTGCTTCGTTCGTAAATAACTTTCCGACAAATTAAACACATATTCCGTGTGAAAAACTTCAAATCAATCTAGGTTTTTAAACCTACAAACAAAGGCATCATTGTCATCATATCAGAAATTTACAAAAAAGAAAAACTAACTTTTTAACTTACATAAACGGAAGAATTATTTCGAACTGACAATGTTATCTCCTTCAGCAGAGAGCAAGAGCGATGCTTCCGTCAATAGGAAAATCAACAGGACTTCGGCCAGGCGCATTCAGAGGGAGCTGGAGGAGATCTCCAGGGATCCGCCGCCCAACTGCAGTGCCGGTCCCAAGGAAGACAATCTGTACGAGTGGACGTCCACGATTATTGGACCTACGGACTCCGTTTACGAGGGCGGAATGTTCAAACTCGACATATACTTCCCGCTGGAGTATCCCTTTGCACCGCCAAAGATCGTGTTTCGCACGCCCATCTATCACTGCAACATCCACCGACTGGGCATCATTTGCCTGGACATTCTGAAGGAACGCTGGTCGCCGGCACTCACTATTTCGAAGATTTTGCTGTCCATTTGCTCCCTACTCACCGACTGTAATCCCGCCGATCCGCTGGTGGCCAGCATTGGCAAGGAATATGTGAAGAATCGCCAGGAACATGATAAGAAGGCACGTCTCTGGACTAAAAGGCGAGTCTATTGGAAATTCACATAAAAAATACATAATCTAAAAATAAGGGAACAATTATTTAGGTTTGCAAAAATGGATTAGATGGGCAGATCTTGTAAGGATTTACCAAAAACATAAATTTACATCCGATAAATTAGAAGTAGGCCATGGTCTTTTCCACGAAACAGCAACATCAACCGATCCGAATTATACAAAAGATGTTAAGTTGTTTTAGGTGTTTGCCATTTGTTTTTTAATTTTATTCATTGCGTTAATAATGTTAAATTCCAAAAATAAACTGACACCTCATTGAAAATGCGCTATAAATAAAAGGTATATTTTTGTCGAGAAACTTGGTGCTTTTTTTTTCATTTTCTTATTGACAACTTTGGAAATTGTTCATGCCGCAAGTGGGGAGCCACGCCCACACACCTCTACGCCCATTGTGGTAATACTTCTGAGTGGCCGACCGATGGCGTTGCCAACGAATTTTCGCCAGGGCCAACACAAAAATTCGATAGAGAATGAAAATGTTTTTTTGACATCAACTTCGTGATTTCCATGCGAAAATATATATTTTGCTAGGGCAAAGGAAGTAGGTGCTCTACTCTGTTGCTTATCGATTTGAAAATTACATGGAGAAAAGTTCGGGCTAAGGAAACACGAAATTAGCACAGGCTACGTTGCTGCCAGAAACTGTCAAGTGTTGCATACTTTTTCGGGCCATTTGAGAGGGCTTAAACCAAACGGGTATTCCTCGGAAAAACAACAGCCAAGTGGAGCACATTTGCATGAAGCTGAAGTTGGAGAAGGACAAACATTAGCCCAAGTCAGATAGCGAAAGCTTTGCGAGGGTGGGAACGTGGAGTACGGAGCCACCGAAAGCCAAACAAAATTCTTTTACCGCTCTTTTATTTTTTCCGATGGGTTACCCCTTTTTGGCAAACAACCCCTTTTGGCGCACTGAAAAACCGGGGCTAACAAGTCAAATATGCTGCCAAAGTTATTGATGGCACACGCACCAAAACAAATTTGCTTAAATCTGTTTAATGTTTTCCCATTTATTGTGCCACCCTTAACCGGTTTCCTCCGCTTCCGCTTCGATTTTCTCCTATTTTTGTAATATTTATAAATATGCTTTTTCTTCAAACAATTTGTTAAAATTGTTTTATTTTTTTCAGCTATGCTCGTGATTGGCCGCATAGATCATTTTGATGAGGGTGTGTGCTTCTGGTTGGCTGTGATAAGTTGAGCTATTCGTTAGAATTATGGACAGCATATTTGGAAATCGGTTAAAGAAAAAAAATCCTAGCATTTAGCGCTTGAATATGTTTTAAGAGAAAAAAGGGTATTCAACTCTTTGTATCCTTGTAGCTAAAACACAACCCCTAGTAATCCTCATTAATATTTAATCAACATTTTTCACTTATCATTTCAAAATTCTCTTTAATTAAGAATACCCAATGAGCAAACGATGAAGTTTTCATCTTAAAACAGGGTAAGCGAAGTCAAATTTCATACTAAATGAAAAGGTTTGGAATATGAAATACCTTTTAAAAAAATCCAGAAAATAATTTCAGAGCTCTAACAATATTAAAGAAATAAAAATAAATTAAAAAGTAATAAAACTAAATCTTAAACCAAATAAGGATGTTTTTTTTAAGTCCTACGACTTTTTTCAAATATTGTTAATCCTTTTCAAACTTAGTAATCTATCTGCAAATCAATCCCGAGCTTCTGCATTTTTGGGCGAAAATATTAAAGAGAAAACTCATACTATTCCGTAGGGTTTTTTAAAATTTCTCCTTTGATAGACTCCCATGCTTAAATGAAATCAAGATACCCCTGCTACCCTCTAAGTGGCGGCTGCGAAAATCCCCAACACACATTTGCAGCGTAATCAACAAAAGCACTAATTGCATAGAAGACACGCTCTGACATTGATGTCTGATGTCCCTAAGTGCGAGCGAGAGGGGCAGCTATAGGGATATCTCTGTCTGGCTGCCTGCAATTTCATTTCATTTGCGCTTCATGTGCAGCGGTATTAACGTTACAGTTGCCATTTACCTTTGCCAACGAGGGCGCTGATGACGCTAAGCTGTCTGCATGCGTAGACAGAGCCACCCCCTCATTTCTCCCCCTCCCCACCATTTTCCAGCCCCAATTTTCCCACCCCATCCCCCGCCCTCCTCTCAGCCGTCACACAACTTCATTAACGCAGAGTAAACACACGCATGCAGTTTTCGAGCTTTCGAGCTGAAGCCGGGAGCAAAGTGTTTGATGTTGTTGCCTTTCCTCGGGCAGTTTAAAGTTACATTTAGGATCTGCTATCTGGAAATGGAGGAGGGGGCGGGTAGTCCGGTGGGTGTGGCACCCAGACATTCCGAAATGTTCGGCGTATTTGCTTAGGTGAGTATGTTTGGTCTGGAAGAGATAGGAAGAAGGACGAGGCTTTAAGCCAAACAAAATCTAGAATTAAATTGAGCGAAAGGTGTTCGTATTTGATAATTTTAGCTATAGCACTACATAACAACGTTGAAATAATTTTGAATACTAAATAAAAAGAGTCAAATTCCTAATAAATTTAATAATTTAATAATTATTTTAAAAGTAGTTAAAAATTCCCAATTAAAGTATATCAAAATCAGCTGAAAGAAAATATTTTCTTTTTTATATAATACAATTGATTTCTTAACGATATCATTTTGCAGTTAAGTGTAATTGACGATAATTTCGTCGAGCATCCTTTTAAATGAGTGCAAATTAACATGATCTAAATAATTAAATATAATTTGATGTGCTTTTCCGGCCGAGACAGACTTTCCACGCATTTTGTTCCGCCCTTCCGTTTCGCATTATTTAGACCGGGTCCAAAGTCCATTAACAAAGCATAACGATGTGTCATGTGGCAAACACACACAAGAATACCGCAAATATCGCACTTGGTTTTGCAGCTTTCTCCGTCTGCTTTCTCCTCGGCTCTTTGTTGCTATTCATATTTATGAGGCTACGTGTGTGAGTGGCCCCCCTAACAAGCCTAACGAACTGCCAAATTACGCTGAAATAGCATTAAAAATTTAAATTTTTTCCCATCCTGCTCTTTTATTTCGTTTTGTGGACCGTCAAAAGCGAAAACGCCAACGAGTCCTTAATGACATTAAAAAGAAAGCGTTTTTCTCCGGGTGTTTGTGGGTGCGTGTAAAAAAATTATTTTGCTGGTCTGGAGAAATTTTAGCTTTCTTGAGATATTTTCAAAAGGAATTAAACGGTTGAAAGAAAATTGAAGTAAAGTTTTTTAAAAAATATCCAAAATCAAAATTTTCTTTTTAAAATATTTTATTCCATAGCTATTGATGACTTTTTCTGTGTCACTCATCCATAGTTGTAGTAAATTCCTCTGGTAACCCATTAAAATCACTTTGGCTTGATGCTGTTCCACTTGGCAATCGAATGTGAACTCCAGATGTAGCCAAGAAATGTTAAAAATGCCACAGAAAGCAAAAAAAAAAGACTGAGGAACAAAAGTTGCTCCAACTTGGGATAGGAAAGTTTTTAATCTGCCGCATGCAAAACTTTAATCGAAAAGCTGCCAGCACTGAGGAAACTAAGTCAAACTTTTCAAATTGAAATATCAACAAAAACAAGAAAGGAAGCTAGCTTCGGCCAGCCGAAGCTTATATACCCTTGCAGATCATTCCTATTAATTAACAAATCGCAAAAATGTTCAATTTTCTTATATTTCTCATTAATTTTCCGATCGTTCCTATGGCAGCTATATGATATAGTCGTCCGATTTTGATCAAATTAAAATTGAAATTCGAAAATATTTAAAAAGAGTCATATCCTAGAGTAGAAGATAATACAATAAAAACCAAAGAAGCTAGAATTTATTTCCTATTACTTTTCTATTAATTTACCGATCGTTCCTATGACAGCTATATGATATAGTAGTCCGATTTTTTAAATATTTAATTCGAAATTCAGAAATATTTAAAAAATAACATCCCCAAAAGTAGAAGGTAATATTTCAAAAAACACCGAAGCTAGAATTTTTTTAACGTTTTCTTTTCCGATCCTTCCTATGGGAACTATAAAATATAGTTGTCCGATCCGGTTGGTTCCGACATATATACTACCTGCAATAGAAAGAAGACTTTTGGGAAAGTTTCATCCCGATAGCTCAAAAACTGAGAGACTAGTTTGCGTAGAAACAGACAGACGGACAGACAGTCGGACAGACGGACAGACGGACAGACGGACATGGCTAGATCGACTCGGCTATTGATGCTGATCAAGAATATATATACTTTATGGGGTCGGAAACGTCTCCTTCACTGCGTTGCAAACTTCTGACTGAAATCATAATACCCTCTGCAAGGGTATAAAAAGGGAACTGAAAGCAGAGGAGGCAGATAAGAAAAATTCGATTCGTATGTTTTGTCGTCACATGCCAATTGCGTGTTTGAAGTGCATGCAGAAATTTAAGCCGAAAACTTTGATCGCCTGCCGCTGTGACAGAGACAAATGTGAAAGTTTTCCCAATGCACTCGAAAGTAGCAGGAAAAGCTGTTTGTAAAGTATGCAAAGGGCATGCAAACAATGGCTTGTGATGGCATTTCCCTCTATTTTATTTGGAGGGCGGTGCATTTTCGCCACTTGAACTTGTTAAGTTTGTTCAGGCCGAGTAATGAAAACAATAAATATTCCTAATGGAAGGCAAATACATGTTTGTTTTTTGGTTATTGAAATGAATGCGGATTTCATTTTTTATTTGCCGTAAAATCCATTTACATGGTGCATAAAAAGTGACGTTTTTTAGATTTTTCTGTTTGGGCAAAGTATATTGCTAAATATTGCTAAATAAATACAGAGATATACGAAAGTAACCTACTTTACACTAATATATTGTTTAGAAAAGACCATTGAAAATATTTGTAACCTTTAGTAACTTAGCTATTTTATCCAATCTAGTTTATAGACCCGAAACACCTTTTATTTTACGATAAAACTCATATAATTTCGCAGCCATTTTTAATTAACCAAATATGTTTGTACGGAAGCTGGCACACAATTACACTTGTGCTCAAACACAAGTACCAAAATAAAGCGTGGAATATGTAAATACGGCAAGCAAAATTAATTTGCCCAATGCAAATATGCAGAATGTGAAAATGTTTTCCCCCTTCGTCCCCCCTTTCCCTTACTTTCTGTTTGTGCGGTGTCATAAATTCCTGGAGCCGAGAGGAAAACCCCGAAAAACCATGAAGGCAAATAACCTAAAAATTTTTCGCTGACGTTTTAGAGAGGCGAGTTTAAGCCCTGTACAAACGCACCCACAATTGAAATGCAAGTCATGAGTTAAGCAAAGCCAGTGAAACTCTGCTTTCTGTTGGCAGCTTCCAAGAAATTTCACCTACCTTCGGATACTTCCTTATACCCACAACTGCTGCAGCTTCCATATGCACCGCTAATATAGCTGGGTTTCGGCCATGTCGGGCTCTTGCCAGCTATATGACTCTGCCAACTACTGCTGACTGCAGTTAGTTACCCAGCGGGCGACATGGCAAACAAGAAGCTCATTTTCGAGGACCCAGGGCCACCCAGCAAACAGTTTTAGTCAGATGTGCTTCAACAGGTAAAATAAAACTGGAAAAACAAATACACTTTGGATAAAATATCTTGTATTGAAAAAAGGTTTTACTTACTTTACCAGTATGAAACGATGATCAATTTGATATTATGTGGTATTAATTTGTAAATGTAAACCATATTTAAAATGTAGTACGTATGTAATGTAATGTGTTAAGAAAAAATTAAAATTATTACACAGAAATATTTTTATTTTCCCAAATTTATTTATATTTTCTTTATTTTGTTCCCTGGGTTGCCAGTTGCATGTGCATGGAGTATGAAGCAGGACAAGACCGTGCTCATTATGCATAAATTGTCGCTGCGAAACTGCGCTGGTGCACTGAATTATGACAAAGTTAATGGCATTATAATGCCAAAACGCTGACATCTGCCCGAGCCAAGTGGATAGTGCTATCCCCAGAAATTTCCAGTTGGCCAAGGGCAAGTGTGTCGTAATGCCGTTGCAATTTCGAACGTTTTTAAAGCACAAAGATGGCAGGCGATGGCTACCGCTGTTTGCGATGACTTGTTGGCCCAAAGGCGGAAGCGCAAGGAGTGGGCAAATGACCCTCGTTTGTTGTCCTCTGTCGCGTACATGGGTCACCCTTGTAAGCATCGTTCACACAAACTCACACATGGACATGGCAGACTCAGACAAACACCTCTTAGTCCCAGACCCTCTGCTTTTTACCCATAATCTTTCTTTTTTATCGCGAGTCTGGAGTAACAGGACATGGATTTAAGGCTACACCAAGAAAATCTGATTATTTTTACAATCATGTTCTTAAATAAACTTTAAATATATTCTTAAACTTTAAATTATTTTAAATAGAACACAATACTATTCCATTTTTATTTAAAAAATATTTTTATTCGTTTAAAGTGTTTTATCTTTTTGTTTGCCTGTATAACCACAACAACATTAGTTGTTAGCATCGACTGGGTACCGCACTGTGTTTTTCCCTATATGTTCTATACTTATATACGGGTATACTTCCTGCACACGCCGCACGCCGCCACCGCAAACTTGCGGCACTGAGCCCTGTTCTCACTTCCGGTTTCCGGTTCGCCTTTCGCCATCGCCATCGCCTCGGCTAGTTCGGTTACCGTTGCCGTTAACTTGTTTTGATTTTTTAATGGCTCGCCTGACGACAGCCAGCAGAGCATTTAAGCCTTCATAACTCTTATCTTAAAGCCAGAAACTTAAACAGGACGCTGGAGAGGCGAGAATTTCGCATGAAACTCTCGAATATGCCCTCTAGTTGTGCAAAAAAGGAATATATATTTTTTCAGAAATCTCTGGCTGACTTTTGTCAAATAAAGGGAACAACAGAATCGTGAAAGATACTCGGCATTTGACGTGGTGTAGGTCTGAGTCTGGGCTTTTGTCATGCAAATTGTTCAACAAGCAAGGCGGGATGTCGACGGTGACGTTGATTGCTCATGAAGTAAAATTAAAAGCAAACAATCCCAGGATCCGTGAGGCGTGCCTCTAAATACTCTATAAACGGCTAAGGGATAAGAAGAAAACTTAACAAAAATAATATTAGTTTCGAAATATATTCTTACTAATTAAATAAATATTTGTAGTTAATAGTTCTTACGTAAGTTAATGAATTTTTATATCATATACGCATCTTTGAAGACATCATTTAAATCTTCCATAAATCCAGTAGACAAGCCTCACGAGCAATGTAATTTCTGTTATGGGGAGCAGAATCGCTTCCCTAATCCGCTGTTATTACACCTTTTCAGCCAAATAGGGGATATTCCCCGAATCGGGGAAGAACTTAAGGCGGCGTGGCTTACCTTCCAGCCCATTTCCCCATTACCTCCATTAACCATTTTCATGTTGTTCGCATGCAACTTGAGTAAAAAACAAAAGAGCTGCCAACAGGCAACAAAAGCCACCGAGGAGCGGGAAAATGGGAAAAAGAAATACAGTTGACGTTAAAGGGGAAGCACACACAAGTCAAGTCAGAAAACTTTTGTCCTTATTGTTCCTTTTGTTGTTGGTGCTGCCACTGTGTTGCTTTTGCTGTTGCTGTAATTGCTGCTGAGAAGGAGGTGCCCAAGTTCAGAGTCCTGTGCAGAGTCGTCGATTTTAATTACGTATGCAATTTATTTATTACCTTCGCCCGGAAATATTGTGCAATTGTGTTGCTCTTGCGCTGCACAGGATGTGGCACAAAAAGCTCGAGCAGGATAAAAGGGGGCGTGGCAGGGCAGCAAGGATTTAACATGCGGTTATGAAGTTACTTTTCATATTCTCAATTGAGTCCTGTCAGAAAATCCAGTGCAGGCACAAGGAGCTTCAAGTCAGAGAAACAACTTATTGGGTACTTAAACTAAAGATAAGGAGCTATGAAAATATTCAACGTTTAAACCTGAACGACTGACTAGACTTTCTTAACAAAATTGTATTAAATAATACATTTATTATCTTAATATATTTAAACATTTCTAGAGATTTATAGCATTTTTAAAAACTCTTTCCTCTTATAATACGCCCAAAATCCTTCTGCACTGCGCTTCAAAAATCAGTTCTAATATCCGGATTCCCCATTTAATAACCCAAATTACGTATGATAAATGATTTGGTTGAATGTGAATGATGGGAACCCAGCGGAAGTGGCCAAAAGGCGGCTTTCAAGCCCAGGTAAACCCACTATAAATTAGATTACAAAAGCTCAGAAAAGTACCTGGGCGAAGGAACCGTGACCATAAGCATGGCGTGTGTCCAATAAATTAGCGTTTTCATTAGGAAAAACAAGTGAAATTTGTTCACAATGTTGTCGTTCTTTGGGACACAAGGATAAGCACACTCGTTTGCCTCGAACCTGTTCCAAATTGGTTGCATTACTTGATTAGTGTCCGCGCAATGCTGTTATTAAAATTCAATCTAAAATTTTACCCCCCCCGGCAGTTGGAGTCTCGTGAGCTGATTGCATGTCCAATCGAATTTAACAACCTTTTTGCAGTGTGGAAATGGGAAAATGGGGAAAGGAGCAGCGAGGAAATTAACGAATTTCATATTAAGTGCAAATTCCGGCCTGCAACTCGTGTCATGCGATTGTGATTTGAAGTTGCTCGAAGCCCAGAGTCGTTAAGCTTTTCCTTCCACTCTAATGCCATTTGCATGTTGATCACGTGACCATAGGGATGTAATAATCCCTATATTAAGGCGTTACTAAAAAAATATGCTTGACATATGGATTATGTTATTTAATTCTTAATCATGATTGAATATTGTTTACATCATCTTCCCATGTTTTCTTCACATATCTGTTTAGGTATATTATGCACAGGATATGTATAACTAATAAGGAAAAGGGACAGAATAAAAGTCGTAAGGATGGTCAAATACACTTACTGATTGGGTAGATAAGATACCAATATGCAATAGGATAAATAAAACTGATAATTTTCCCCCTATGCAGATTTTTCCTTCCATCCTGTTAAAAGTTAATATAAATTCCAGTAATTCTTAATCACATGATTAATATTTTACCTTTTTAACGCCGCCAATCAGGAAGAGACCAGAGATTACCATCAATACTGAGCAAAGTCCCAAAAATATCACCCATATCACCATGGATATAAATTTAAAGGAACGATATTTTCTACGGTCATGTTCTGAAATGGTAGATTGATAATATAATATCCTTATATTTTTTCAATCACTTACCAAACTGAAATACCTGATAAACCGAAAAGCACATAAAAAGTGCCAGAAGAATTCCCCATACTATGAGCCACCAGGCATAAAAGCGTATAACTTTCCGATCGGTTTTACGTTTGGTTTCCGGTATGCCATACCATTCATTCATTTATGTGTGGTAAACGAAAAGATTTTTATTTCTCCAAAATTATGTTTGACAATTCTTAGTAAATTGGAGCTCGTTAAAGATTTTAGCCCTTTCTTTCATAGGGAACTGGATCTTTGAAAATATGTTTACATGTTTATAAAAGTAAAATCAAAAGGTTCTTATTCATTTATATGTAGCTCGCTTTTTAATCTTCTTAACTTGATTTTGGGCCATCTCTTTCTTCTCCCGGAGCACCTATTCCCACTCGGCGGGCTTAAAGTCTATGTTGATATTGAAGAACTTGCGCATCTGCTCCGGAGTCTTGCCGTGAACCATAGTGGACACCACATCACACGTGAGGTCCAGCAGGTCCTGGATTTTCAGATAGTCAGCCGCCAGGACGAGCTGAAACAGGGTGTCCTTGTCGACTTCCAGGAATCGGGCATCCCAGGAGCTGATGGTGCGCTTGTCCTTACCCTCATCATCGTCCTTGTGGAATTGCGCCCAGGTGAGCACTCTGCGAAGAGCGGTCGAGGTCACACAGGGCAGCAGCACAAGGGCGTTCTCTTCGACCTCCTCGCCGCTGTCCTTCAGCAAGGTCATGATCAGACCGGAGCACTTGACGACCTGGGTGTCCGTCTCGAAGGTCTCCCCGTCCGAGGTTCGCAACCTGATTTTAATCATTTTGCCCTTGTTTTTGTACACGCTATTTCTTAAATATCTGCAATTAAAATGGTTCAGTGTGACCGTGCCTGGATGAGCAACAAAATGCATATCTTTTTCATGAAATAGGGTGGCAACTCTGTTTTCCAAAGAAACGAGGTTGTTGACTTGCTGGAATTTCTGACAATTGATAACTTGACAAAAACTTAATAGCTCTACCTTCATAAAGTACAAATTTCACTTCGCTAAAAAGTAAAATTGAACAGAGCAAGCAGAAGTGCAGCAGTGTGACCGTGCCTAAAAAACTAAGAACTTTTCAATAAAATAGGGTGGCAACTCTGTTTTCCAGAGAAACGAGGTTGTTGAATTGCTGGAGTTTCCGACAAATGCTTACTTTGCGAAAATGTAGTAGGTGTACTTGGGACTCCGCCTTCAGGAAGTAAACATTTTACTTCACTGAAAACTTTTCAGTGAGAAGTAAAGTTGAACAAAAACGGAGCAGTGTGACCGTGCCCGGGAAAAATGCACCTCTTTTCAATTAAATAGGGTGGCAACTCTGTTTTCCAAAGAAACGTGGTTGTTGATTTGCTGGAATTTTTGACAATTAACGACATTGCCAAAAAACTTAGTAGGTGTAATTGTGACTTTAGCTTCCGAAAGTAAAAATTTCACTTCACTGAAAAGTAAAATTGAACAGAGCAAGACCAAAAGCCAAAAGATCCCCAGGGAGCATTGAGTGTAAGAAAATAAACGAAGTGCTGCGACAAAACTAATAATATTCCCCCAAGATAACCAGCAAGAGGAATACGCATAAAACCATTCACGATGTCTGATCGCAAGGCGGTGATCAAGAATGCAGACATGAGCGAGGAGATGCAGCAGGACGCTGTCGACTGCGCCACCCAGGCTTTGGAGAAGTACAACATCGAGAAGGACATTGCCGCCTACATTAAGAAGGAGTTCGACAAGAAGTACAATCCCACCTGGCACTGCATCGTCGGCCGCAACTTCGGATCCTATGTGACCCATGAGACTCGCCACTTCATTTACTTCTACTTGGGCCAAGTGGCCATTCTGCTCTTCAAGAGCGGTTAACTGCCCCATACACAACCCATCCCACAAAAAGCAATTGGCGCCCAACGTTGTTTACCGGAGGAGCATGCCAAGTACTACACTTTCCTTGAATTGTAACCTCGGCCGAGGGTTACTCAACTTACTCGTTAATATTGTTTGCCCAAATTCTAAATGCCCTGCCAGTGCTGACTCATTCTGAAATTAATTAAACTGAATGCTTGCTTAATTATTGGTTTTTATTTTTTATTATTTAAATCAAGAGAGAACGCTATAGTCGAGTACTTCAACTATCAGATTCCCTTTAAGCTACTGGCTCCATCTTGTTTTCGATTTTAAAAATTTTTTTCTACATTTCGATAGTATTATTAAACACAACAAAATGACATTTAAACTTTTACAAATACTTTAAATATGTGGGCGCCACATTGGTAGTTCTACGAATGCCGATTAAAGTTTAAAGTTTACAATCGCCCAAATTTTATCCCACGTTTCACCCTGCATATTCCTTGCTGATTCAGCCGGACCTGGACACATCTGATAATGCTTTTTGGGTTAATTCCTGCATTCATAATGTCCTTCGAGTTCATCAGAAGGCAAACAAAGGGAGCACGATTTTCCCAGGGAAATGGGAAATTCGGGATGCCTCACCTGGCTGTGGGCAAATAAAAATTGCTTAATTAAGTTAATTAAAATATTGTCGCTGTCCGTTGTGCTTCCATGTGCTGGCGGCGGTGGCATTTATGCGTTTTTATTATCACTGCGATTGGCCAATTTCGGACAGGACGTCGTTCGGGTAATTATGCCAGCTCACGTCCAGGGCCGCAATAATAATCATAAAAATAATATTAATAAAGTTCGCAACGGGTGAGAAAATATATTTTGCGAAATACTTTTGCACTTGGCCGGCAGGCGCAACATATGAAAATGTTTTTTTTGCCGAGTGGGTGTTTATAGTTGGTTTGAGCCGCTTTCACAGTTCGGCGACTTTTGGCCTTGTCCCCCCGATTTTCCGCCAGCTGGCGCCCGATTTTCTGTTTTTCGAACTCCTGCATCCGCATTTCGATGGGGATCGGTCGGTCAGACAGATTCTCATGCATATTTCATGGCTCGCTTAAATACGGCAGCGGGATACAAAAACCGGGCCGAAATGTAATGCCGCACTTGAAGGCCAAGGCGGGTCGTAAAAATTTAAGTGCCACGCAATCAGTTTTACGCTCTCCCAGACAAAGCCCTTATTAATATTTTTTACCTTTCTGTAATACGAGTAAGATATATTTTTTATGCATTGCGTTATTAAAAGTAAAGCTCCTACAAATGTCTGGGCTTTACTTAAATATTGCCGCCCATCCTTTGACTTCCTGCACATCCATTTCCCACTTATTTCATTTTTGAAGTGAAGTTCGAACTCCGGCCAGCTGTTCCTGTGTTTTCCTGCCGAGCCTCTGCTTTCACTGGGCTGAATGAGTAATAGTATTTTGTGCTCCAGGATATGTTGAGTCTGCGCATTAGAAAAAGGAGACTGGGATTTTCGAACTAACGAGAAGATAGATGGCGCTGGTGTTGACTAGTAACTAGTTGTTCTCGTTGATTTGGCGGATGCCTTAAAAAGCGTTTTTAAAAACATATTGGTTTGTAATTAAAAATTTTTTTAAAATAGATATTCTAAAATATATTTTCTATTGTTAAAAAAATTAATTTTTGTGTTGCTTGAAAAATCTGAAATAAAAAAAAATAGGATAACATTTTATATATTTACCAACAAGTTTAATTTACAAAAATATAAAAAAAATCGCATTTAATTCATAAACTTTTAAATAAATTATTATAAAGGGATAATATGACAAAAGAAGAACCTTACATATACATTGATTTTTTCCCCTATAGAAATGATAAAAAATCAACTAGTAAATTTACTTTTTGCCTACTCACCGCTTTGTTTTGTTCCCACATAATTCCAATTTAATCTCCCACAGTCCCTTTCGCCCTTCGCAGCCAACATCAAGTGACTACAAATGAGCAAATCTCTTGACCTTTTTTTGTGCCCCGGGCACCCGGTTGAAAAAATGAACAAAACTTTTATAAATTACTGTCAGTAGCAGTGACCTCAATATAAAATTGCACAACATAACTTGAACACACACCGATGCACACAGACAGTGGAACAATTGCGAGTGCAATGGATACGAGTGTAATTGCATTTTACTTGGACGCCGAGCTAGAAAAACCATACGAAAACCCAACCAAACCAAACCGAACGAAATGAAACCAAACCGACCACAGAAACATACGCACATGGATATGTTAACTTTTTGTGACCTCAGCAGCTATAATTATTGCCATTTTTTGCTGCTGCCCGAGTGCACGAATGTATATTCATATATGAGCCAGCAAAGCGGGTCAGTCCAAAGTCAACATTAGTTTTATCGCAGACCGGAGTCGAGAGGACTCTCGACAATGACAAAAAATCTTAATGAAACACAAACAAGACAGGAGGCGGAGGTGGGGGGAGGTAGCCCAACGTACAGCCAACAAACTATAAAAACCGCACTGTATAAAAAGTCACAGCAAATTTTCATTTAACAAAAATAAATGTTCCGAATTTGTACCAAAAATTAAAATGGCAAAATTACTTTTCTGCCCGGCAGCGAAGAGCTTGTACTCTGTAAAATAAATCAGATAAATATATATGATTAAAAATAACGTTTTAAGAACCTTCCACATATGAAAATGTCTTAGGCGTGGTCAGTGAATTTCCATAAGCCCTTTTCGCTTGATAATCGCCCACATAAAACAAAATAATCTCAGGAAAAAAAGCGAAAACAAAAGATGAAGAGATGGCGGAAGTTGCATTCTCCTTCAGAGTTTTTTCCCCTTTTTTTTCGGGGTAGTGTGATGAATGAGGCTGCAAGGATCCGCAAGGACACATGCAGAAGTCACCCACTTGGGGAGTCGATTTTTCATTTGGCTTATGTATCATCAACCCGAGCTTGTCTCGTGTCGTTTTCCCCTTTCCTTTTGGCCACTATCTCTGCCTGACCAATTCCATTGTCGTCAAGGAGGCTCCTTCCTCTATCCTGCCACTTTTGCCTTCTTTTACCACTTCTAAGCTCGTTTCTCGGCTTGAACCAGGATTTGGGTGTCCATCTAAAAACTTCTTCGTTATCATTTGTCGCTTTAAGGCTTTAGGCTTTTCTTGCTTTTCTTTTGTGAAAGTGTAAATAGTAATTGTAGGGATCTATACCCGTAGGTAATGATATAAGGGTATTTTAGTTTATATGAGGTTTTTTTTATTAAATTAAAAAAAAATTAATATTGTATCATATTTAAAAAAAAAATTTAGTGTATGAATTTTGTAACTAAAAAAATATTAATTTGAAATATTTAGGCGACATATGTATACATATTAAGTTATGAATAAGAAATAAAGTTTTGGTACTCCATAGCTTCCGTTCTTATCGAGCTCCCATTGTCTCCTCTTTGGATTTCCCCAGTGCTCTTGTAGGTTTTATTTTCGTCATTGTTGCCTGTGATAAATTGTGCGCTTTTCGTTTTGACAGATGTCAGCGTTTGTCTGCCCATTGCGAGTCCGAAGTCTTTTGGGTTTGTCTAGGCTGGACTGAAAATCCTCCGAGGTTATCGTCCTTTTTTTCAGTTTAATTTTTCTTAGCTTTTTTCAACATTAAAGCATATCCGTAACCTTTAACCTCGGCCTGATCTTTGACTTGACTATAGTTTTTGTAACATTTTAGTCATGTGTGAGTGTGTGTTTTTGTCGTTTGCAGTCAACTTGTTGACATTTTCAGGCCTGTCACACGACACTGAAGTCCTGCGTCTGAGATCCCGAACCTGTGTCCTGTCAGTCTCCAGGTCCGGAGTCCTGGAGTCCTCTACCCTGTATTCCGTGTCCCATGTCCTGAGTCCATGTTCTCGTGTCCGTGTCAGGCGTCACTTTATGCCCCTGACAGCGGCAACAATTTTATTTACTTAATTTGGCTTTAGTTTGTCATTTATTTACTTGTTTGCCGCAACAGCACAACAGTTGGTCAAAGTGTCCACCTCACGGGTCCCACCTTGCAGTCCCACCTCCGATTCCGGGGCCATATCTCTAGTTCTCGGAACGATCTGGCCAGAGTTCTGTTGTTGTCACTTTGACGCTGACGTTGATGTTGTTGCTAAGGTCTCTGATGTAGCTGTTTGGTTTTATTCCCATTTCATGGGGTATTTCGGAATAGGGATCACGTTGGCTTGATAATGGAATTAAAACAGTGTATTTGAGCTCTAAGAATCTAAATAAATATAAAGATATAAACACATTTGCATAGCTTTATGGAATAACTTAATTCAGCATGGATATCTATTCAAAGCCTTCTATTTATTTGCCATTAGAGTAGCAATTTTCAAAATGTGTTATCTTTGATAATTATTTATTAGATATTTTTATACCCTCACAACTGCAACTGGTTCTATAAGCTATGTCTTTTTGCCTATAATTCCAGTTTTTAATTTTTTTTAAAAATATTAATGTTGCTTTTTTAGATGAGGAACTTTCTGATAATATTCCAGTAATTTAAAGATTTTTCTTATCCTTTAATTTTCCCCTTCAAGTGTATCCTCCATTCGCTTCGAGCTTCCTTGAGAGACCCCCATTTGGTTTTATTTGTAACACGGTGACACATTTTGCTGCCCGCACTTTATTGCATATCGTTGTCGGCTGTTGTCGGAGCGTGGCATTGAATTTTTTATGAAAATTTAGAGCAAAGTTGCTTTTTGCTTTGTTTGCCTGCCGTTGAAGCTTTTGCTGCCGCTGCACTTTGGCACCGTAATTAAATATTTATTTCAATCATTTTCGGCAAATGGATGGACACCACGGGGCAGAGGTACGAAAATCCATTCATCGCCGAAGTGAGACCTCCATATAAAAGAGGAGGCGGGAGTTGAAGGCCGAGGGGCGTGGCTTTGGGGGGCACTAACATTTGTCATTACACATTAATAGCGCACCATTAATCTTTTTCGTGAGCCGAGGGCATGGGGCTCAGGGCTCAGGCTCAGAATGAATGCCATTCCGGGGTCTGGACCTGAAACTGAATCTGAACCTGGATCTGGACCCGAGTCGTCTGTCGCACAAAACCGTTAATTAATGTATGCCATTTAGCTGGAAAATTGCAAAAGGGACACACACTCACGTACACAAATTGGTTTAAGGGTCAGAGATGAGAGCGTGAAATTGTAATGGGATTTAAATAAATTATTAAAATAAAAAAAATATTTTTTAAATAGTTAAACAAAAATGTAATAACTATTTATTATTACTAAGTATATTTTATAATTTCAAATATTTATTCAAGCTTATCAATAGTGAAAATAACAACATGTATTTAAATTGTATTTTTCATTTGCACTACAATAATTTCGGAATTAATATCTTGGCATTATATATTTTTAGGTACCTTTCTAAGATCCCTAAAAATGTTTCGAAGTCAAGTTTTTCTATTTTTCATTTGCACTACAATAATTTCGGAATTAATATCTTGGCAATATATATTTTTAGGTACCTTTCTAAGATCCCTAAAAATGTTTCGAAGTCAAGTTTTTCTATAATACTTCTCCTAAAATCACACTGTCACCACTAACCCATGCGTGTTTTGTCAGCCCATCATAATGAGCGGCAATTTAGTGCCCTTTTGAATGGTGGTGGATGTGGGGTTGAGCCACTGGACGAGTGGGTGGTTGGGTGGTGCGTCGTGCGTCGTTGTCGCCACCACAAACAAGCAAAGGCAAAAGCCGCAGTGGCGGGGAGAAGGGGTTGGGATTGGGGGTGCCCAGCAGGTATGCTTGATTAATGCTTTATAACAAGGCTCGCACAAAGCACGCTCTGAATGCCCACCCGCCACGCCCACACAAACCACTGGATGGCGGTCCACCACCCTCGAACGGCCCGACGCCCAACCACCCACCTCCTGGGTCCTTGCATTTTAACATTAATTTAGCGGAATGCTGCTGAAGACTTTGAAAAGCTTTTCAGCATTTGTCGACACATGTTAATCCGTGTTGTTGGAATTGCCATGATTGGTCTACCCAAAATCCCCATAACACTTAAAGCTGTTCGATAATGAGGATTTTGTAGGGTTCGAATACGATTGGAAAATATTTCCAAAAAATAATAAAATATTTTAAATAAAATATTTACATAAGAATTTTTCAGAATATTTCAATTGAAGAATATTTTAAGTAACTGAGAAGATTTCCTAATTTTTAGCCTTACTTCCCATTCCTTTTCTTTTGATGATTTTAGTTCCCCATGGCAAAGTCCATATTTCTTTGCATCTGAGATTCCCTGCAGCCTTTTGTTAGCTTAATTAAATTAAGATATAAAAAACTTGCAGATCTTGTTTGAGCATCATACTTTTGACGCCCGCGATTATTATTATTTTTTTGGTCCTCGTGGCACTTTCCTTTTTATATGATTTTCTTTTCACTATATTTTTCTGCATTTGCAGTTCTGCTGAGCTTTTCGCCCTTGAGTGCTTCCTGTGGCGTTTGTTCATTAGGCAAAAGCGGAAGAAAAGCCAGGCGAAAAGTTACGAAAAAAATGGGGCTAAAAAATGTGTCTAAAGAGTTAAAAGGTTTATTCACTTTGCGCCGTCTGTGAGGCTAAAACCGACGACTTTCTGGGGCTGGAGACACATTTTCCGAGTCGAGCATTAAGTAATTATAAGTTGCCCGGGAGTTGGCTAAAAGTTGCAAGTTGGCATCTGCAGCTAGGCAAACATATTGCATGTCTACACCCTGGTAGACAGGCAGTCACCGGCGCACACTGCGTATGCGTAATGTGTTGAATAATTAAATTGTCAAACAATTGGCTTTTGGCAGAGAGTCAGAGGACGGAGATGACGACAAGAAAATGGGATTTATTGTCTTGCAGTGCGAATCCGAATCCGAATGGAAAACGCTTAATCATCTTTAATTGAAAGCACTTGATGAGCTAGTCAAATGCCAGTGAACAACGAGCAGTGAACAATGGAGGGATTCACACAATCGGAATTATTTATAATGCTTTTTAATCTCCATCTGAATTTGCATTTTGCCTCTTTTTTCTATGAGTGTGTGCTGGCAAAATCATTTGCTCGCTGATAGGATTCAATTTCCTTGTCATCATGAAAACGTTTTCAATTAAACTGTATTTATTATTCAGCAGATAAAGCAAACAATTCCCTTTTCAATAGTTAATAATGCCAAGTCGGCTTATCGCTGTTCAAAGTTTTAGGGATCAATTTCGGTTTAAAAGCATGTGTCACAGAATAGGCTTCAATTAAATGATATTTTATTTGAAATAAATATCGTTTAATAAATTAAGCAATGAGCTCGGGCATATAATAATGATTTCTTAGCAGCTTAAGTTGGATTCTTCTCGGTTTATTTACCCCTTTTCATCGGGTTCAATTCAAGTGCGAATTGCAAAAGCTTTTAGGCAGATTGCCTGGATTTGCAGTTGGCTGGGGGGAATATTAAACCGCAAATCTGCTGAGTTAACTACGTATGCATTGGAATATAGGAACATTTTGTTTGCTTATATTTATTATATAAAATATTCTTAAATTTCATACTTAATTTAACAAAATAAAATCCACCGACTTTTATTGAACTACAATAATTTGATATATTTTTCTTTAGGCCACTTCCTCGCCCTCGTCTTCTTCCTCCTCTCCCTCATCGGCCTCCGCATCCTCGGCAGCTTTTCTTCTAGCTGCAGAGCTCCGCCGACTTCCTCCAGAATTTTGTGAGCTACGACGACTTGTTACCTTGGATTTTCGAGGTGGCGGTTCAGTGCAACTGTACGGTGGCATATTAAACTGCTCCGGATCGAATTCATCCAGGGTTTCCAGCCGCAAAGAGGCCAACTCGGACCAGCAGCAGGGAAGCTCCTTTTCGGCCAACATTACCACCGGCAGTCGGGCATCCCTCGCAGCCTGGACTCCCTTGGTGGTGCCATCAAAGACCAGGGTGCAATCGGGTCCAGCATCTCCGAGTCGCGACATGGCAATCAGGTAGACATCTGGTTCCGGTTTCGAGGCCTTCAACTCCGCATCATCGGCACAGATCACCGATGAGAAGTTGTCGAAGAAATCCTCCCGATCACGAATCTTGGTGCAGTACATTGATTCGGAGCACGAGGTGACCAATCCCAGACCCATGCAACATTTACGCAGATGAGTAACCAATCGTTGAACTCCAGGCATCAAAGTTGGATTCGCAATCAAGTCGGAAGTGCGTTCATTCAGTTGAAAGCGAAAGGTCTCCCAACTCACGGGAAGATCGCACTTTCTACAAATCAACTCGGCCATCTCAGCCGTCTCCATGGGTCCACATTGGATGAGAACCAGTTCAGAAACGGTCCTATTGTAGCTCGAAACCAGCTCTACAAGAGCCCTCTGATAGACATGACGGGTGTCTGCAGGCGAAAATATGGTTACTTTTAAATCTATAAAAATTACTAAAAATATCTGTTACCAAAAACGGCACTCTCCAGATCGAAAATGCAATAGCTAATACCCGGACTGCAGCACATCGGTGGACAACGCGAACATTCTGGCGGAGCTTTGCAAGCCTTACAGCAGGGACTGCACATTTTTGGGCTGGACTACAGGGATTTTACCGGAATAGTTTCCAAAAAATTATATTTGTATTCTACGAATTTAGGCCCAACACTGACGTTTGTCGCACTGAAAACAGCTAGGTGAAGAAATTAAAGGATAAATATTTTTACGATCATATTTACTACGACTAGTTAGATTAAATAAAAGAATTTTAAGAATCAATTTACTACTTAATATCATATTTATTACATGAGAATTTTAAATGCTTTCAGTGATCTGCGCACAAATGAAGTGCTTATTCTCTTAAATTTAAAATAGATGGTTCTCCGATTGGCACTACAGGTTCTTCCGGTGGTTCCTCTTCCTCTTCTGCCTCCTCCTCCTCCTCTTCAGCAGCGGCTTCTGCTCTCCTGCGAATTACGGTCAAGCGCCGACTGTATCTGGTGCGACGACGACTCGATCGCCTTTTGGGTTCGGGATCCTTAAAAGGCGGCATATTGAACATCTCCGGCTCGAAATCATCCAGGTACTCGAAGCGCAGGGCGGCCAATTCGGACCAACAGCAGGGGAGTTCCTTTTCGGCCAACATGACGACGGGCAGTCGAGCATCGCTGGCGGCCTGAACTCCCTTGGTGGTGCCATCGAAAACCAGGGTGCAATCGGGTCCAGCATCTCCGAGTCGCGACATGGCAATCAGGTAGACATCAGGTTCCGGTTTTAGAGCCCTCAACTCGGGATCATCGGCACAGACGACGGTGGAGAAGTTCTCGAAGAACTCCTCGCGACCACGGATCTTGGAGCAGTAGTTGGCCTCCGAACAGGAGGTGACCAGGCCCAATTCCATGCAGCAGCTGCGGAAGTGCGTCACCAGTCGCTCTACGCCATCCATAAAGGGTGGATTCGCAATCAACTGGGCCGTCCGCTCGTTAAGATCGCGCCGAAACGACTCCCAACTCATGGGAATATCCAGCTTGCGGCAAAACAGCTCAGACATCTCTGATACGGTCATAGCCCCACTTTGGACATGTAAAATGTCTGGTATCCTCTTGTCGTAACAACGAACCAGGTCCTTCAGAGCCTTCCGGTAGATGTGCCGGGTATCTGTGGGTTAAAGCTAGGATTAATTAAAAAACCCTTTTGTTAAAGACATCATCTCACCGAAGACTGCACTCTCCAGGTCGAAAATGCAGTAGCTAATACCCGGACTGCAGCACATGGGCGAACAGCCTGCACATTCCGCCGGAGTTTTACAGCAAGGACTGCACATCTTACTTCTGGATCGGAAGGACTCTGCGACTGGAGGAGTAATCTGAATTTTGCGGAAATTTACGTCTACATTCTCCGAAAGGAGGCCTAATAATGGGATTTTGACATTAAAAACTTTTTTAAGAAATATTTTAAAAATCATGTTCGAATTTTATTAAAAAATTCCTATAAACTATAAGCTATTATCATCTTAATTGCATCGCAATGCAGCTAACTTTTAGTGGTTTTTATTTATTGTAAATTTAATAGTAATTCTAAACTAATTGACAAATCACATTTATTTTTCTACAAAGGCGGCAGACCAAAGTACTGTGGCTTGAAGCCCTCCAGCGATCGCAGTCTCAAGGTTGCCGGAGCACTGGCTCGAATGGAGACCAGAGGATCAGGAACGAGAACCACTTGCATTCCGGCGGCCAGAGCAGCCTCCATTCCCACCAGGGAAGACTCGAAGACCAGGCATTTACTGGGCTCCGGGGAGTCCCCGAATCGCGAGGCTGTGGTGAGGAAAATATCTGGAGCCGGCTTTCCCCTCTTGACCTCTTCGTCCGAGCCACTCAAGACCACGTGATGGAAAACATCGAAGAGCCTGGAATGGCGACGTGTCTTTATCCTAAACGAATCCCGACAGCTGCCACTTCCAATGGCCATTGGTATGTTAAACTCATTAAGATGATTCAAGAGACGCTCCACCCCGGGCATCAAACGAATGAAACCCAATTTGCTGCGCCACTGAAGTTCCTGCTGGGTTTCAAACTCGCTTAAACTAAAGGGCAGGTTGAAGGTGTTCACAATGAGGGCGGCCTGTTCGGAGTTCGGCTTGCCCATGCAACGCATCTTGAGATCAAAGCTATAGGTGTGACCATAGGGATCGAGAATCTTCTGAACGGATTCAGTTCTCAACCTTTCGCTATCGATCAGCAGGCCATCCAACTCGAAAATGCAATGGGTAACTGGCTGAAAAGAACAGCGCCTCGAACCCATTTTGGTACCCTGATCTTCCTCTGACATTTTAAAACTCTTTAATTTAGATTTATTTCGTATTTTATTTAGATATATTATATTTACCAATTTTGAGAGATAAATTTTGAGTGCTAGGTGGTTAGCCAAACTCAAATTTGGGGACGTTGCAAATGGCTGGGAGGCCGAATAACTCGGGCTGAAATTCCGCCATCGACTTGAGCACCTGAGACGCGCCCTTCTTTTGCTCCTTGGTCACATGAGCCGGTGGAATCATGATCACCTGGCTGCCCGCTGCTATCCCTCCTCTCAAACCAACCGGTGCATCCTCAAAGATAAGACACTTTTTGGGATCCGCCGGTGGATTGAATCGCGAGGCTGCGAGGAGGAAGATATCCGGATTGGGTTTCCCTCTTCCCGCTCCGATTTCCGGATCATCGCCACAGACGACGTGATGGAAGGCCAGAAAAATATCGCTAAATGCCCTTGCCTTCACCTTGAATATTTCCCTAAACGAACTGGTTGCTATGCAAAAGGGTATGCGGTATTCGTGCAAGTGGAGAATAAAATCCCTTACTCCTGGCAACAGCTTTACGGTACCCATATACTTCTCAGCAATTATTTCGAATTGTTTGAGGAATTTCTCAGGCGTAGTCGGCAGTTTAAAGTCCCTGACGACCATCTGACAAAATGCATTTGCTGGCATTCCCATATGAAGAGCCTGATCCTCTTTGGTGTAACTGATGCCATAAGGAGCTAATAGTTCTTGAACCGTTTTAAGGTATACGAGTTCACTGTCTGAAAAGGGGAATACAAAAATAAGCATTTCGGTTGTAGGATAATAAAATACCTATCAAGGTTCCATCGCAATCAAAGATGACATGCGTGACTGGGCATAAACATTTCTTGGGAGCCATTATTAAGATGGTCTATTTAGTGGGTCTCTGGGCAGCTCTTTTCTTTCACAACATCCTCTTAAATTTTAATGCTTAAGTTGGGCCAAGATTAAGATTTACTTATCCGAAAATGTAATACAAATTTTGCTACTACATTTAAAAGATCAATTTATTAAGTTTTGACTGCAAAATAAAGGATATCTTGATTGATTTCTTTATTTCCGATTTAAATATTATTAATTTTTTAATTAAAAAAATTTTAACATAAGTTTTTTCATAAATAAGCTCAGCTTGAAACTTGCAGCTGTTGCAGTATTTCAAATTTCTCTAAGTTCGCGGTTTCGTGTCAAGCTGCCATTTTCTTGGCGCCTGTTGGGGATAGTTGCACTTTTATATATTTAACCAAGTCTAATGCATGCGGCGCACGCTTTTTGGCCAAGATCCCGCTGCCGTTCGCATGTTGTTACAAAGTTGCGTAATTGATTAAGCAGTTGGCAGCCAAGCCGCAAGAGACGTTTTCAGCAACGCGTCGCCGAAACTTTGGCATTGGCCAATACGTGCCACAAAATTCGGGGGTGGTGCATGCAGCATGTGGCAGGAAACTTTCTGCGGTGGGTTGAGTGGGTAGTTGGGCGGGCGGGTCAAAGGTGAACGCGTCGCGATGCTTGATTTTGGTGCGCGTTTAATAGCCAAGCGCACCTGGGCTGTATAAAACGAGTTAACCAAAATGTTTGCGCATTTGACGACTTTGAGTTCACAATGGATATTTACGATATTCGGCAAGTTTTGCTATATGGTTAGATCTGGTTAGAAAACGATAAAACATAAGAAAAATAATAAAACAAGGAGGAATCTCTTTATTTAAGCTAGAATTTTATTTTGTATATATTTTATAAAATAATAAAACCCTATATTTAAATATTTTTAAACGTAAAACTCACTACTTTCATATTTATTTTTCCTAATCTTAGGGATTCCGTATACATTATCTAACTTAACTTAATTTCACCCTAACCTTCTAGCCTTTAGACAATTTTAATTACAATTGAACGATGAAAGCTACCCGATTTCCTCAGAAACCCCACCATTCAGATACCTCATCCATATAACCCCATTGCCTGACCAACGAAGTGGGCAATTTTATTACCTTTTATTGGCAACGTTGCTTCAGTTGCAGTCAAAAGCAATGACCGTAACGCATTAATGTCCTGTGGCCGCCAAAATCGAAGCAGAAGTTGGTGCGATGGCTGAATGGCTAACTGGTTCGCTGACCTTGCATATTTTATGACCAAGTCCAACTTTAATTGGAACAATACCAATAAATGCCAAATGCAGATGGCCCGCGGGGCGAGAGCCAAAAAGTTTGATGTGCATTGACCGGGATATCGAAGGACCCAGCGAAACCGAACCGAACGCAAACCTACCGACCAAAACCAAATGGCAGTCCGCAGCGGTGGAAATCAGCTCAAGGGGACACATTCACATTCGCATTCACGTTCACACAAAGCCACGAGGACCGCAAGGATAACAACGGCTTTTGGCCGACGTCGCTGCAAGTTTGCGGTTTTTGGGTTTCGGGCTTTGGGTTCTGGGTTTCGGGGAGTGAAATGCAGGCAGGCAGCACAGACAAGCAGACCAGTTAACAATTCAATGAACGCAATTACAGCGCCCAGATTTCAGGTGGCAGTTGAAGTACAGCGTTGCCACGACAGCGATTAGAGACGCGTTCAAATTAAACGTTTACAACATATTGTTGCTGGTCAGCCAAGTGGGAATTTCCCTTGCCAAGCGCCAAAAAAAGAACAAATAAATAAGTTAACTCCAGGGGTCGAGACCATAAGTTACTTCGTACAGAGATTTGCATACTGTTGGGCGCCAATTTTTATTTTTGCAAGCTAAAACAACACGAGGAGCCCGTAAGATCTAAAACAAATGCTTTTTATTATTTTAAAATTTGGTAAAGACCCAAATTAAATTTTGTTAACTCATACCCTGAGCATAAAAAGTGGTTAAATACCATAAATGCTGGGCTACCCAAAATGGCTAGCTGCATAATTTATGCACACAATTCGTCGCTGCATTCGAATGTCCTGTGCTGAAGTCCTGTTCTCATTTGGTTGCCACAACAGCTGACGCACAGCGTCCGGAAAGTTGTCCGTCCCTCTGGCCAACCGTCCGATTAATTAAAAGGCATTTTATTGACTGGGAGGACGGGAAGCTGAGGTGGCCAAATGGGCGATGTGTGTGGAATGGGCCACTTTTATCGCCAGTACCTTGCTGACAGCAAATTGCTTTAGCTGATTTGGCATTTTCCATTGAGTCGATGAGAAATGAAATGCGATTGAATAAACGTGGATCAGGGGAAGGGCACTGAACGGAGTAAGAACAAAGTAAAGTGAATTTAAGGCAATTTTTAATAGAGACAATAAAGTGACTGAACTGAATATCGTAAATCGTGGCATAATAAAAATGTTACAATAATAGTTAAGTGAATTAAGTCATTATAAGTTTTAAAGTAAGTTATTTAGATATATATAATATAGTAACAAAGTAAAGTGAACTTTAGGGAATTTTTGATGGAGAATATAGTGTGCTTAAACTGAATATCGTAAATCGTGGCAAAATACAAATCTTATAATGTTTTAAGTCATTTAAGTCAGTTAAGTAAAATAAGCTTAGAAATATACATAGTAAATTGTAATTATCTGTAATTATTTTTTAAAATGTCTTTAAAAACAAGTATGTATTTCTTCTTCAATGAAAATCTTTCAAGCTTTAACAACTCCAAAAACCCCCTCCCATAGAAAACCCAAAACACAGACTGTCCAAATCCAAACCCTTGGGCCACCGCAAGGAATACCAAATTGAATAAATAGTATACGATATAATCTCCAAAGAGTAACCCAATAGCTGGCGGGCAGGCCGCAAAAACTGCAAGCCGGCATCATCCTTTGGCACTCAATAAATGTTATCCATCTATGTGCAGAGCGGCTCAAATGTCAGTCACATATTCCTTCCATCATCACGACGCTCTCCAGACCGATTTCCCAAAGGGTCTCCAGTGCAACAATGTCGAGGAAGAGGGGCGATGGGGATAAAAAATGGGCACAAAGTCCAATTTATTTGTAATGGCATTACTTTGTTTACAAAACAAATTTTGTATGCATAGCGAGTAGTCGTCGTTGGGCGAAAAGAGGTGAGTTGGGGACTGGGGACACCGATCCTACGATTCCTATTCCGATTCCTCGACCCTTGCAACAAACGCTGCAAAACCCAACTCGAAATGCCGCGGGTGCTGTCGCAGTCTGGGGAAACTCGAAAACAAAAATAGAAAGGCGGGCAAATAAAATATAGACATAGATATATACATTGTATATATTTGTGCAGCTTCTAAAAATCGTTGTACCATAAAATTTCCCCAATGGACGCTCAGAGTTTTCGGTTCGCAAGGACTGTCCGTGCTGCCTTTTCGCTGTTTAATTTTACAATTGTCCTTTTTCTTTATTCCTGCCCAGGGAACGGGACGAGTGGGTGGTGGTGGGTGGATGGGGGTCAGGTTTATCTATGCGCATCCGTTCCAAGTGCGGTTTTGTGATTTATGCTCGCTTCTGTTGGCCAACATTTGTTTTTCTCACCAAGGCCGAGGAAATAAAGGGGAGAAACTAGCCCAATACGGGGTATTTATATTCATTATTTTATTTGTAACATATAGGTACTTTTTATACCCGTTACTCGTAGAGTAAAAGGGTATATTGTATTCGTGCAAAAGTATGTAACAGCTAGAAGGAAGCGTTTCCGACCCCATAAAGTATATATATTCTTGATCAGGGTCACTAGCCGAGTCGATCTAGCCATGTCCGTCTGTCCGTCTGTCTGTCCGTCTGTCTGTCTGTCTGTCTGTCCGTATGAACGCTGAGATCTCAGAAACTACAAAAGCTAGAAGGTTGAGATTTCCCACACATATTCTTGGGCTTCCTACGCAGCGCAAGTTTATTTCAGACGAGCGCCACGATTTTAAAATGTGCCTGGCGGTCACACCTTTAAAGATTTCCGAGAAGTATAAATGCAATTTTGTTGTGTATATTTATACCTATCGAAATGTAGAAGACATTTTTTAAATCGGACCATTCATTAAAAAGTTATATGCAATCCAAAAATATATATCCATCTCCCTCGCACTCCCTTTAGCCGAGTGACGGGTATTAGATAGTCGGGACACGAACCCGACTATAGCGTTCTCTCTTGTTTTTTAATTGAACTTGATAAAAAAACACCACAACTATTTTTGCTTTTAATATTGGAGGCATAGAATAAAATGAAAAACTATTATCCACTTATAAATGGTAATCAAGGCATGACTGTGAGACTTTTATGATCTTGAATCAATTGGATATGGTGTTAATAAATTAGAATATAATATTTTACTTTTTTTTAACAAAGTTAAACATTTTTAAGTATCTGAAGGACACGACTCCTGGGGAACTTTACCCAAATCGCTTATGACCAGACCTGCTTTTTGTGCATAGTACTGAGCCATATAGATAATATCCGCACTCGGCAAACGTTTTCGGGTCTGGATAACAGCCCAATCTGAAAAGAAAAAATTAACATTGTTAATATAATATTAATAAATATAAAATTTAGTGCAACTCACGAAAACTGAAAATGTTACTGGAATCGAAGCACATGAAGCGTATGGCAAAGTTGCTATAGTCGGTATCCAGTACGTAAAGCAGAACGCCCTCAGGAAATGCTACAAAATATTATTAATTTTCCACATCAATTAGTTAAGATTGCTAATTAAGTTACCTGGATTCTTTGTGTCCAAAATATACCTTCCATATTTGGGCTCTATTTTTAAAATGGCGGCTTTCCTTTTTCTTACTGTACCAGTTCTATGAAAGGGAAATCATTAAAAATGGCTAAAGAAAAAATGTAATTTACTTACTGGCCGCTCAGTTCGCGATTCTTAACAAGAAATTTACGCCCGGGCAGCTCTACGAACTCCGTCGATTGGCATTTGGCCACTTTCAACGAGAGGGGAGGATATATTGAGTGGGTGTACCACTTTCCCTTGAAGCGATTCATATCCAAATCAGCAACAGCAGTCATATTATCGGGACAGTGACCATGGAATGCCCTAATGGCCCACGAGAGTTGAAAATGAAGAACGGCAAGGCTTTTATAGAATTAAATAAGTTACTAAAGATCTAAATACCTTTAAGATAAATACTCACGCGAATAACTTCCACTTGATCATGCTGAAAAGGTCTAGGTAAAACTGAGAACGAAATCATTTTGGTCTGGCCTATTTAAATATAGTGCAAATGGCTTAAGAAAGACTAATCAAGATTTTACGGGAAAGAAAGTTGAACCAAATGCTTTAGAAAATACACGTAAAAAATAATCATTTTTAAAAAATATACATATAACTAAAAATATTATAGCTCGATCGATTTCTTCGTTTTAATTCCCTGCAATAACAACTATTTATAATTGATACATTAAAGAAGATTCAACAATCGATATATGTACACTTGAATAACAGAACATTTAGTAACTTAAGAAGTTCATAAAAATGTCGTAGAGACGCTCGTAGAAGCGTCGAAGCCATTCTCATGCCTTTTCGATGGCATTTGGCACCACGGTAGTTACAAAGTCATCCACATCGAGGTCGTCTTCTGCGGATAACTCGGTGCCATTGCCCTCCAATTGGGGGCATTTCTTCTGAACCGTCTGGCTGAGGAATGCCTGCGATAGCTCATTGTCATCCAAGATATTTTTGGCCTTAGCTATAGTCTCCGCCGAAGGTTCCCGCTGACGAGTTAGGATCCAAACGATTTCTGAAAGTGGGAAATAAATTATCATTTTGTCATATTTGGTTGTCATGCTAATGTCAAGTTAAGACGCAATTTGCATTTCAACATTGTGAGTAGACACTTCCTCATCATTAACTTACTCAAATTGGCCCAGGGTGTAACACTGGTGCAGCTATAGACGACGGCATATGACTCATAATCTGTGCCCAATACCAAATAGTTGGCCTTCGTTAGTGGCTCTGAAATTAGTTAGGTAAATAAACAAAGATTAGCACCGAAGACCACTTGAAGTTTGGCATTACTCACGGCCTGGGAAAAAAGCTACTGCCAACTGACCAGGTCCGAGGACCTTGGCCTTTCCAGTCACATTCGAGGGCTGTCCGGTGCTATTTTGATTGTTTCAGATAGAGTTAATTGCTTAAAATTTAATTGGTTTCGCACTTACAATCGATTGATGGCCGCATTCACTACAGAAATGGTGCTGTTGTCAATGATACTGTAGTTGGCGTAGATGCATTTCTTTCCGATCTCAAAAGCAAACGGATAAGCGGCGTACTCGTACCAGACGCCCATGTACTACAAAAAATTGTATTACTAATTAAATAATTTCCTCTTCAAAAACAATGTAACAATATTACGTCTGTTGTTCATATAACATGCAAACAAATCAACAAATAGTAAGCTTGAAGTGCTTACTAATTAATTTAGAGAGCTTAAATAAAAATATTTGATAAGATATAAAAGCTCCGCTAATTAAAAAATTAATTGGATTTATTAGATAGAAATATTTACTTACATATCTGTAACAAGAATTGCGTATTCATGAAAATAAATTTTATTTTCCTATCTTATCATAATATTTTTTTGCCTATTGTGATCGTTCGATATACTGATAAACTAATAAGCCATAAAACTTAATTATTATTTTGGCGATATTGTTATTGTTATTATATTATATTATTAAAATATTTCTAAGGTTTCTGATGTTCCTGATATTTTACTATATTCTATAATGTTTTTATTTTTTCTGATTGACGGGATCAATTAAAGTTCATCGTTCTAGCTCATATTTCTTGACTAGATATTTTTAAAATTTAAGCAGACTGATATGAGATGATTGATGGATCCTTTAAGGTAAGCACTCACCGCTTCCGCATCGAAGGCGTCCAATAGTTTGACTTCTGGGCACTTTCCGGGGAAGGGAACCTGAGCATTTCCCAGGCAAACTCCACTAACGACCATCGAGATAAGCAGCCATAAGTGTGAACTGTAACGATAATAGAGTGAAATGTAAATATTTAAGAGCTCTATTTATTAAGTAACGCGTAACCCGACCCGTGGTGATTCATTCTGGAATATAAATTAGTGATATAATCGCTCTCCGCTGAACCTAATTTCTGTTCTACTTCTGGCTTAGAACTGAGGTTCGACTGCAGCTGCATCGTTACTTTATATGCGAAATGAGAGAGCTTTGTTTTGGCGGCCGAGCTTTATATCAGTGCGCCGACGCAAAGTAGTGTAAACAAAAGTGAAATGCAGACGATCTGGATGAAAGTGGGGGCTGGGGGGATCCAGTGCTCTCGTTACACCCACTAAGCAAATATAGAAACCCAGAACGATATGATGGCATGCTCACATAACTTTTGTATGCACTTCGCGATAATTCTCTATCGATAAGGGCTTCCGCATGCTAAGCGGAACGATTTTGCATTATCATTGCAATTAAGAGAGATTACTGCGTGAATTAGTTCAATGTCCTGAAAATGGCAAAGTGAAATGCAGCGTGCATAAACAGATAGTACGAGGCGGGAATATTTAATTAAGTACGCATAGAGTGTCATCGTCTCAATCCAAAATTCTTTAAAATAAAAATATAAATTCATTATTAATTTATTAATTAATTTAATGGTAAAAATATATATTTTTTTAAAGAAATAAATACAGTTTTTAATTTTGTTAGTTAGTAATTAGTTTAAACGAATTTTAAATTATCATTAAAAAACAATCCAAACACAAAATTTTTAAAATTATTTTTAAATTTTTGAAAACAATGTGTTGCTCTTTTAAAAAAAATTTCCTTTAGCAATAAATATTTTTTAGTTTATTATTAAAATAAAAATTAAATAAAGAATAAGTATTTCTTAGCATCCACCTACAGAAAAGCTTTTCCCACTATGTGGATTGTATTTGTAGCGCCATCTTTTCACAATATTATTAGCGCCATCTGTTGAGCGCTTTGCCTTTCGCTGGGCAAAATAAGGAAAATTTTCGAATTTTTGAGGTCCTTCAGCATTTAACCTTTATCTCGTGCTCAACCTGGTCAGAATAAAATTGTTGACAGTGGCGAGATTTCTGCGGTCTCCTTTTGCTGGTGAGGAAAGGAGAAATTACATATCCCCCCATATATTATTAAATTAATTAAATGTAAACCACAAATTGAGTTAAATGTGCAAAAATGGGAGAAAGAAGGGTATCCCAGGTGATATATGTTTCGACTAGGGCAGATTGATAAGTTGGAACTATATCTTTAAATTTCCTAAAAATTAAAAAAAACAAGAGAGAACGCTATAGTCGGGTGCCCCGACTATCAGATACCCGTTACTCAGCTAAAGGGAGTGCGAAAGAGATGGAGAAAAACTTTGATCCGCCGTAACCTTTTAACGAATGGTCCGATTTAAAAAATTTCTTCTACATTTCGATAGGTATTGATAAACACAATAAAACTGCATTTTTACTTTTCCAAAATATTGAAATTTTTAAAATCGTATACAAGCGATTGTGGGCGTTAGAGGGGGCGTGGCACCCTTTTGAAACAAACTTGCGCTGCGTAGGAACTCCTAGAATCTGCATGCAAAATGTCAATCTTCTAGCTTTTATAGTTTCCGAGATCTCAGCGTTCATACAGACAGACAGACAGACAGACAGACAGACAGACAGACAGACAGACAGACGGACAGACAGACGGACAGACGGACATGGCTAGATCGACTCGGCTACTGATCCCGATCAAGAATATATATAGTTTATAGGGTCGGAAACGCTTCCTTCTACCTGTTACATACTTTTGCACGAATCTAATATACCCTTTTACTCTACGAGTAACGGGTATAAATATAAACTTAAAAAAACATTTTCCTTTTTATGTTAAAAGATTTTCTTACAGCATTTTTAAATGACTTTTTCTGTTCCACTTTACGATTTACCCTCTCTGAAACATTCATATTTTTATACATATGCGGCTAGCGCAGATTTTGAATGGCCAGCCAACTATTTGGGTATGGGAACTTATAGCGCATTCCCCCTGAAAGGATTGGGCTTGCCCCATTCGGATGGACGGATGGCCTCTGCTCGGATTTGCTGTGGCTGCCACTGTTTGTTGCATGCAGCGTGTAGTAATTAAATTTAAAATATGTACACATTTGCCGGACATCTGAGCTTAAAAACAGGTGCAATCCTTGAGGGTTGGCCGTTGGAGTGGGGATCCGGGTTTTCAGGGTTCCAGGGATAATTTGATCAAAGGCAACCGTAAGCCTGCAGCTGGAAGCGGACAGATGAGAGCTGGTTATTACAGGCCATAAGTGCAGTTTTCTGGATATAACCAAAGCCGAAGCCAGGGGCGTCTTTGGAAAATAATCCCGAAGGGGTACAGCTCGTCGGACTATTATTTTGATGGTTAATTTAATTAAATTTTTAAATAATTAAATTATGAAATTATTTCACTTTGGGGAATAGTGCTTAATATTTCCTGCGGTTGGTCCCCATTTGGAGCTGTCACTGTGGTGAATATGTGCGGTTCAAAGTGCATTGACAGTTGGAGATGAGTGCGTGATAACCAATACAAGACGTTGTTATACAAAAGTAACTGAAAACAAAAAAACTAAAAATTAGCTTAGAAAAAAATCTGTTAAATTCTGGGTTCGATAGAACTTTTTTATAAAATTATATAAAAGATTTTCACAGGGACAATATCGCATCACGTTGCCCTCTTTAAAATCCCTGCCCACAATTCAATCACTTTGCCATTTTAAGTGCTCGAATATTTTGTGGTTATTCATTCGCTTTATGGGCATTTTGCTGAATGTAATTTGATTTAAACAGAATTTTGTCGGGATATTTAAAAATCAGTGCAGTGCCACAGGATATGCGGATATAGCTATAAATACATATATAGAGCACGCGTGTGGCCATTTAATTAAGTGGCTACCTTTAAAGCCAGCCGCCAAAATTGAATTAATTTTGATTATTGCTGCAGTTCAGCTGGGTTCGGATTTTGTTTGGGGCTCCTGCTCCTGCGACTGCTGCAATCAACAGTTGACATAAAAAAGGAGTCGCACTAAATTGCCGGCTAAATAACATCGAGGCGAGGACAGCTGGAGCAGCAACATCAAGTGGGTGGAGACACACTCCGGCGACCTTTAACCCGAGCGTGGGAGTTGCGAAAAGTGGGAGGGGGAGGAAGCTCTACCCAGAATGCGTGGGAATTGCAAAACATGACGCAATTTGTGCTCGCTTTTGTAGCCTGTCCCTTTTGCATGCCATTCTCGCAGGATATTACCAACTGCTCGTGTTCTCCCACACACGCAATGGGCCATAGATTAGGTTGCTTCCAGGGGGCTGAGAGGTGCTTGGTACTTGGAAAGTGCTGCCATTAACCAGAGATATGGCCAAGAAAAAACACTGCTAGCCAAAACAAGAAACAGCTCAAAGGGAATAATTGATTTCTGAGGAAAAAGCTTAATCCGTAAGGATTCTTTTCTTGGTTCTTAGTCCTGAAATAAAATTTAATAATCCAATTTTTATCTGTTCCTGTTTGATCTTCCATAATCTTTATATCCAACATACATATCCAACACCTGATCACCTGCCACGCCATAAAACCCCGCCATTCACACAGCCATATCCCAAGTTTTTCCACCTTATTTTGATGTTGCAATCTTGGACAAATTTATTTATTTAGCACATTGTTTTTCGCATCGCTCCTTGGGGCATCAGTTGCTCTCCCCCAGACTTGGAAAACTGAGAAAACGCGGAAAAGTCTGGCACACAAGAAAGCTAACACTAAGAACAATAACAATAACCACTGGTGGCAGACAACAAAGAAAAGGGCTGGGGGAAATGGAGGCCAAAAAGGACCAACTCTCGAAAGTATTTTGATTTGTGAAATGCTCGTAAGTATTGTCGTTTTTGGCGCTGGCGCTGGTAGCAATTTCTTAAATTTTTTATAGCGCATAACCTGTCTGGCACACATGTGCAAGCCGACCCCCCTTTTCCCCCCTGGAAAATCCCTTCGTGAAAACCCAACGCAAACCCACCCACAAACAAACGCAGTTCGCAGGACGAAGACGTTGGGCGCTTGTTGGCAACGCTTATTGCATTATCCTCGGCTAGAGTCAGTCAGCCCGGGATAGATGTCGGCCGATCTGGGGTGGGGATGGGGGTCTCCCCACCGAGTGTTCAGGAAGATATATCCGCGCCAACTGCCGCAGCTGATGCCACTTTTGGCTCGTGGCAGCCGCGAGCTGTTTGCCTGTTTGTTGTTATCCTGGTTATGGCTGGAGCCAAGGAGCCAGCCGGCGAACAAAATCATATTCCTTCGGGCAAACAACGAATACTCTCTACACTCCACGGGGAGATCGCCCAGACTAAAGACCTCTGGGATACTATACATTACTTTTGAAGGAAAGTATAAAAGTAAAGACATAGTTAGGAACCTCAGTTTTAAAGACATGTTATTTATTGCATAATATTATATTAACTAATTTATTTATATTTTATTTTACTATTAGATTCATCATCTTTTCCATATGCCATGCCAAAAATGGAAAGGACCTATGAAATTGGCACGACTTCAGCTGGGCTCCGAAGTCTTCTCCTCCCACACTCGCTGAGAGCTACACCTCACTTTCTTTATTCCCCCCAAATGCCTGGCGAGAAATGTTAATACCAAAAAAAGCGAACCATTTGCCGCAATGAAAATCGCGTAAATTTCATACTGATTGTAAGTGTCGCCGTTTTCTTGACGTTGCCATGAAGCGAGAAGCTAGATGGACAGTACACGGCACAAAAAGTTGTAAGTTACTTAAATTAGATTACTAGATTATAACAGAAATATTTGTTAAAAATTCCAAATATGTAGACAAAAAAAATATTTTATTAAAAATAATCAATAAGTAAATACAACGACTTAACTGTAGAATTTAATTAAATAATATATATAATAATAATATAATATAATAACGTAAATTGGTTTTGCAAATAACCATAAAATGATTAAAATATAAATTATGACAAGAACCTCTTATTTAAGATTTTAATCTATGAAAATACTAACAAATTTATAAATTTTCCCTAAGTGCAGAGGGGAGCTGCGAGAGATGCAGACGGAACTGCCATTGCCGTCTGTTTTCCCTCATCCTCAGACTTCCGCTTGGAACTCTGGTGTTGGCTGTCGCCTGCAGATTGTCAGCATTGTCACAATTGCAATTTTTAGGATGGCATGGGATCCGCTGATTTGGTTGCCATTTCACCATTTCGCTATTTGAGCGTTTCAAACATTTTGCGGGCATTTACCATAAAGAGCAGGGCGAATGCGAATCCAGATCCGAACCCGAGCCAAGAACGTCATTCGATTGCGTTAATAGCCGAGAGTGGCGACCAATGCCAGCTGCAAATCTTGCAAATTGCTAAAGTTTTCTTTGCATTTTTTTTCCTTTTTTCTTAGATGCTTTTGTGGTTTATGTGTGTGCTTCCGAGGTTTATACATATGTTTTTGTCATCTTTTGTTTGAAAGTTTTGACACTTTGTGGTGGTTTTTGGGAAAGTATTGGACCTTGTATTTCATTTTTAAAAAATATTATCTTTTATGTAAAACTTCACAATAATAATTGTAACTGATAAGAATAGTTATTTAATTTAATAAAATATTTATCAAATTTATTAAAGTATTTATTTAATAACGGGAAACAAAGAAAGAAATACATAAATATACCTTTAAAAATTCATTCTCTGCATTATGTTTTATAGATTTTTCCAGCTGCACACTTTGTATTCGATCATATCGCCTCCTTACATTCTGTATTTGCTTGACTTCTGTTCAACTATGATTAAAAAATAATTTCGCAAAAATATTGAATCACGTCGCGTACTTGGCAGCCTGGCAGTCAAAGCGAACGTTTGGCTAGAAGACGAATGGCGCTTTTTGATGGCCGAGAATCAAGTTTGTTTTTACGTGCCATGTAGTTTGGGCCGGAGGACGTGGAGGATTGGGCCTGGGGATGTCAAAGGTCGGTCGCAGCTGCTGCAAATGGCTGGTGCTTTGCCGAAATGAGAACTCCCAGTCCCACTCCCAATGCGAGTCCCCCACCCGACCAAAACTCACTTTTGGCTATGAGAAATCGCTCGTCATTATCGACGCCTGCGAAAATCCGCCAGCTCAGACACAGACCCACATGCCAAGGCGCCATAAATTATGTTACTTCCCATACATACATCCATATATATAGATATGTATATAGACATCTGGAGCCGTGAAAAATCGTGCCCCAAAAACTTTGACCCAACCCCAGGAACTCGCAACTTATTGAAAATCACTTAGACACACATGTGACGCTCTCCTAGTTCGTGAGCATGAAAATGAGGCACAGACCGAAGGAATTCCGGGGCTATAATTCATGTCTTGGGGATTTGAATTCTTTGGGGGGCTAAACCACCGAGAGCACCTAGGAAAAGTTTACAAAACGGTCAACGAAGGCGGGCCCAAAAAATGCAAAACCAAAGGATTGGCAAAATATAAACCCCGAGCAGTGTCAGAAATCGGACAGATGAACAGTTGGGGCTTCCAATGGCTACTTAATAGACATGACCACCGGCTAAGACCGCCAGCATGTGACGACAAACTCATAATTTATGGCCACATCCCGGCCAGACGCCGAATGGTATCTCTTCCTGCCCCAGTTCGCTCCTCCCATTCACTGCTCCCAGGATCTCAGTTTCAGTTTCGCCCGGCATTTCGGGCCTGTCAGTGTCGTCTGTAATTGTTTTCCTAATGGAGGGGAGAGCCAGACCCCAAAAACATGACCGCACTTAAGTTGTCAGCCCAGTTATGGGCGTGGACAAATTTATGGGGCCAAGCAAGCCCAGATAATCGCCTTGGAAACGGGTGGTGACACCTCTCCTTGGCATCTCTTTGTGGCTTAAAATGCAGCTCTGGGCACCGGAAATCACTTGTGAAATGCAACCTTGAATTTGCAAGTTCCAATTGTGAGGAGGGGACAATTTATAGACTGAAGGTGCATCTAAATCGTATTTAATCAACTTGTGATATTTTTTGGGAGTATTTATTTTAAATTGGAAAAAGGGTTGTAGTAAATTTAAGAAATGAATTTATTTTTACAGTTCTCCAACACTAATAAGCGAACAGTGTGACCGTATTTTATGGATTTCAAAAGAAGTGGACTGCGTTCACTCTAGGGAGCTGTCAAAAACTTTTATCCACAGAAAATTTCGCATAATAAGCTTGTCAAAAAGTCGGTTTTTAAATCCAAGTTGAAACACTTAAAATCACTGTGCAAAATTCTCATTGGTTTTGAAGGTTGAGCTATAAAAGATCATGTTTCTGGATGCTTTTGGATTCCCCAAGGAGGTGACTCCGGAAAACCTGAACACCTATTCCTACGATCTGGTAAGTCTGAGGTTATAAAACTGGGACATAAATAATCCTGCTTCCTGATAGCATGGAACTAAGCTGCTGACATCGGCGGACTCGGAGTTTTATCTACCGCCGAAATGGCATGGCACCATTTACAGTACCGAGGAGCTGCTGCATACCTATAGAAAGCGATTCAACGTGAGTGATATTTTAGGGATTTGGAATTCCATATATATTACCCGAGTGATTACCAGCCGGACCCCACTCTGCTGACCTTCCATGCCCTGCAGCCCTACGAGCCCGAGTTCATCTGCTGCGAGAGGGCTGTGGTGGAGCTGACTGCCCTGCCGGCCGGTCAAAGTCTCTACAGCGATAAGGAAATCGTGGTGTTTCTGGTCAAGCAGCCGGCCGAGGAGAGGAACACTCTCATCACAAAGGAACTGGGCACCATGCTGGACTTCTTCCCGCACAATCATCACTATCATGCCAGGATCATGGACGAGGGCATCGATGTGGTCTATGTGGACGATACGATCTACCATACTGGGCCGCCCACCAGCTATCACCATCAGCGTCTGTACAATTTGCTCAGAAACATCCAGCCGGGTGCCGTGCTGAGCCTTTCGGGGAGTCCTCTGCCCGATGTCCTGCGCAGTGTCTGCAGAAAACCAGCCCAGAAGTCCAAGGAGCACCACTGAGCAGCTCCCTCTCCGCACCCGAGCATTATAGTCCGGTTTAATAAACTTTGTGACTCCAGAAGATTCGTCTAGCTCGCCGATTGTTTGCATATCTGATGGCGACGCATTAGTCGCAGTTGGTTGGGCCAACTGTCTGCGCTTTTCCTGTCTGCCAATTGATTTGATTATTATCTAGCTGGAGAGGAAGTGGAAATCTGGAGGAGATTTTGAGCTGGTGCAGGAGTGGCTGGATTATTCAGCAGGTTTAAAATAGGGTAATTTAGGTAATTTTTAAAAATATTTATGAAGTGTTTTGTGTGCTTCTAGAATTATTATTTAAATATTCAATGGAATCATGAATTTATTTTATGACCCAGACCCATGCCATCACCCAGTAAAGATTAAACTACTACACTTTCCTAATACCCCATTAAATCATCCTAAGTGGGTGTAGTAGCCCTGTCCGGTTGTCAACAAATATATTTTTGGACTATGCAAAGCAGTCCTTGGCATAAACTTTTAAGTCGCCCCCACTTCGGCCCTCCAGCTCGCATTAGTATTCATAACAAAATGTCATATATTATATTTTTGGGCGTACCAATGGCCAAATCCCTTGGGCAACGCACTGCGTGACATCTTTGTTTGTGGTCTGACCTCCTGCACGGCCAAAAAGTAATCTCCCTCCTTTCTGGGTTTCCAGATTCCCCTCTTTTTGGGATCCTTCGGCCTTCGGCTATTCGATGGCTTTGCAATCGCTTTACTCTTTTGTTTTGTGCCTGGAATATCTAATGGATGCGTGCAACTAATTGAGTTGCCAGCTAAAGGATTTCGCTTTTCCTTCTTGAATTTGCAAATCCTTTTCCCAGAGCTAAATCGTTTGGCCATTGGCCGAGCATTTCGAAAGGTCTCAGTACTTAATGAAGCGGATGTGAGGATTTTGTAGAAGGCACAAACAAATTGTACGCAAATCAAAAAGTTAAGCATTCCGGGGTAAAAGTTTTCAGCGAGAGTGGGTTGAGAAATGGTGGGGTGTCTTAAATGAAAAAAAATTTTATTTTTCTTTATAAAATGTCATTAGTTCCTTTAAAAATACATGATTTTTTATATATATATACAAATATTTCTTTAATAAACATTTAAAAAAAAAATTAAAAAAAAAAATAAGTTTGTTTAAAATTATTTAATTTGTTTTCCTCCTACTTTAAGCCCGGTAAGTTTATGATTTGTTCTTCTTTTGCCAAACTTATCAATCTACCTATTTGTCAAAACAAATCGAATACAAATACTAGCTTTCCTTTTTTCAGATTTTGGGGAAATAGTTGTCACTGCTCTTGAAGACTTACCCATTTCATTCGCAATTTCCTCTTCCATCCTAGAGCAACCTGTTACCCCGCACCTGTTCAATAATTGATGTAAATCTGTCACCACTGTGAAGTGCCACACTCGTTGCCATTCCAATTTCTCCTGCCGGTGTTGAGTACCTTGTTGATCCTTTTTATTCCTGTTGCCGTTGTTGTTTCAAACCTGCAACTTGTTCACAACTTTTGATGGCTCTTGCAGGAAACAAAAAAAAGAAAAGAACAACACCATGGAAACTTCGCAGCTGTTGGACGAAGGATGAGGGGGTTTGTGCCCTGGTAACCGAGGACTACGGGATGCAAAAGCCTATGGACAGGCTGAAACTTATGTATAAGCTCCGGGGGAATGATAAATAGCCGGGCTCAAGTGGCCTCCCCGGCATAAAGCGACCTGCAGGCTAAACGAGCTTCTCACCTTTTAGCCTTATGCAAAAGGCGAAAGACGGGGAAGATCCTGCAGAAGAAGTAGCAGGAAAGGCTGCCAGGATAAGCCCGAAAACGTAATGAAAATGAGATGAAAATTATTGCAACGTAAATCAGGCGCTCCTGAGGCGCCCAGCTGGGAATATCCTGGGAGAGTCTGGCTCCTGGTTATCCAGCTGTCCAACTCCTCCACCGATTATCCCTCCCCCATCTGGCTAAACGTTTTCCACTGCTTAATTTGGCTTTCATTGCCTCGGATTCGGTTCGTTTCTTGCCGTTTTTTCCCTCCATTTTCCGATTTCGGAGCGGCCTGACATGAATTATTTAACGATCTCCAGCTGCGTTGATGCGATTTTCGCCGAGGATGCCTCTAAATTAAAGCCATAACAAGCTTAATGCAAAGACAACCGCAAAAGAGAGTATCAGGCGAAAAAAAGAAGAAAAATCCTTCATTCAAGGCAACAATGTGTGGGTCAGAACAATAAGCGATTCCATTTCCCCCAGGATTCCTTTTCTGCACATGCAAGGACTTAACTCTTTGTGCCGACGTCGAATGAACATGTAAACAACACACTAGGTGGACCAATGAAAGCCCAAAAGGGAAAGGGGGAAACTGGCAGCCAAGAGGAGCAGGCAGGAAAAACAAAAGAAAAACCACGAAATGCAAAGAAAAATCAAGTAAGAACGCTATTCGAATAAAGAAATACCTGTCTTGATTTAGCGTAACTAAATAAATGTCTCTGGTTAACATATTTAAATATTTTAGTTTAAAAATATAATTTAAATTAAGCTTTATAAATGTTTTATGCTGATTAAAAAAAACATTTTATTGTTTTGAATTTTTTTTTAATGTAGCAAACTATTTTTTAATAATTATATTAAATAATTTAAATTTTTTTAATTCATTATTTTGATTTCATAACTTGAAGCACAATTTTTCTATTTTTCTTATCACTTTTTATCTTTATCCCAATATCCCCCTCGAGCCAAAAAAAAAAGCTTTCCCCGATGTGATACAGGGCTAAAACCAAATGAAAACCGCTCCGCGGGAGGTCAAGCGGAGTATATATATCTGCGAACTGCAATGGCCAAAATGTATCTGTATCTGCAGAGTGCCAATGTGTCTGGATACGAAACAGTTTGCAACAAACTCGGGCATTTTCGGGGCGAAAAATCCTAAAACCAAATAAAATGCGCCCTGCCGTTGAACCCACTTGAAATATATATTTTTGGCAATGAAAATAACCCCCACAACGCCGGAAAAAAGTCTAAAAAACTTGTTATAATAAATGGAATGAAGCGCCAACGCGTTGAGCTGCAAGAGAATGTTGCAACAGCGGCGTGGCACCAACAAAATGCAGCCAGCGCATCCTTCCCAGATAATCCCTGGGAAATTTGTCTAACTTCCCCACCCACCCCCCTTTAAGGCTGATGAATGACGCCGCTGCTGTGCAAATTATAATAGCAATTTGCATTATGTGGGTGGTCGGTGTAGTTCGCCCTTGGCGCCCCTCCCCACAAAAACCCCCAAACCTCGCCCTCCTTTTATGAGGCGGATTAAGCGGGGCACATTGTTACCAGCTGCGTGGCGAATGAAATTTTAGATTGCCGAGTTAGTTATGGCGGTTAAGTGGGCGAATGTATTCGACTGCCGGTGGGTTAATCACTGGGAAGTTCTTTGGGATTTGTGCAACATTCAATGTTAAAGAATTGACGTTACCATCCATACGGGCTTTTAAGAAGCAGGTTCAATCTCATTCTGAGGGAGCATATAATCGCAGAAAACATAACTTATTTTAAATTTTAGTAGAGCTCTTAGAGCTTTGCTTTCGTCAATATTCATAGAGTTCATAGTGATCACCAGTTTTTCGAACGTGACCTGAAAACTTGTTATAAATTAAAAGTTAGTTATATATTTTTATATTATACTTTTTTAAGGTCGCACGGCTTTGCCTAATAGAAATTGAAAATGAGAGTTAGCTTCTTCGATTATACAATCGATGGACATGTCATGGCATATATCAGTCGTTTAGCCACCTGCTCTGGGGATATATAAAAAGGAGAAAATATTTCATATCAACACTCTACAATCCCAAGATGCAGCCAGTGCTATTTCTCCTACTCGTCCTCGCTTGCTTGGCTGGAATGGTCCTCTCTATTGACCGGGATTCTCCTGAATTCAAAAAGGGAGAAGAGGACAGTAAGTTTCTGCAATTAGAGCACCCAGTAGTTTTTTAATGATTGCATTTTCAGGGAAAAAATGGTGCCAACTTAACTTCGGCCCTGCTTGGGGCGGACGAGGATGCCGTTAAATAACCGTTTATTTCCAAAAAATAAATGAGTTGAATTGATGCTACCCGGAGGCGGATTCAAATCTTATTGAATCCGTCTGTGGTTCTAGCCAATTTCGAGAGCATTATAGCTTTGAGTGTTTTTATTTATTCCTGTTAACATTGTATAGGGGAATTACAGAAACGATTTTAAACAAACCGAATAGTAGGCTTAAAAGCAAATCTTCCTAAAATCAGAGCCAATTTACTCCGAAACTCCTAGAAAACTCAACACACAAAACAGGTCTAGAAAGTGTGTGATATAGGACTTGGTTGTGGGGGAGGTGGGGTTTTCAGAAGAACTATGATTCAAGTTAACATTATGAGTTAAACCATCTCCGTGTAATAAGATTATAAAAGTATTTAAAATTAGAAATAAAACGTAGAAAAACAAAAGAAAAAGATGTACGCCTTTACCGGTATGGGGATTAACTTTTTGACCGGGACTATCCAATAGTTGATGGTCAAAGTCATTCACTCCTTAGGCCTGCATTTTATAAAGATTCTGTGAATAATGTCATTCTCATAATGAGGATTTTTATTCACATTTCCGTAAACTTACAGTTTTGTGATGAATTAAATTTTTTTTTCTAAAATTAGATTAAATTTGTAAATATTAAATGTGTATACAGTCAAAGTAAGCTTTTTCAATACTGAGTTATGGATCTAGCATCTATAAGCTATAAACATGTTTCCCTGGCAGGGGAGAAAGTGCTTAGGATTGTATTTTATCAGTTTCAATTTAAGTTCAATGAGGTAGGAGAGTAGGATAGTAAAAGAGTTGCAAGGGCGCGTCAAGTATCAAGTAGATGTCTTGGACCCATGCGCGGATCCATATCACGCCCCGCCTCCATTGTTCTGATATCACCCCCCACAACAAAATCCTAGTTCCGCCAATGCTTGGACCCTGTAAATAGCATATGAGAACCAACATGGTAACCGCTAGTAAGAGAATTATATACAATGTTGGTAAGAAATAACTAAAAACACTCAAAGCTTTGTTGCTTTCAAAATTGCCTAGAACCACAAACGGATTCAGCAAGATCTGAATCCGTCTCTGGGTAGCATCTTTTTAACTTATTTATTTTTTGAAAATTAACGGTTATTTAACGGTTATTTAACATCCTCGGCCGCCCCAAGCAGGGCCGAAGTTAAGCATGCACCATTTTTTCCCTGAAAATGCCATCATTAAAAAACTACTGGGTGCTCTAATTGCAGAAACTTACTGTCCTCTTCTCCCTTTTTGAATTCAGGAGAATCCCGGTCAATAGAGAGGACCATTCCAGCCAAGCAAGCGAGGACGAGTAGGAGAAATAGCACTGGCTGCATCTTGAGATTGTAGTGGGTTGATATGAAATATTTTCCCCTTTTTATATATCACGAGAGCAGGTGGCTAAACGACTGAGATATGCCATGACATTTCCATCGATTGTATAATCGAAGAAGCTAAATCTCATTTTCAATTTATATTAGGCAAACCCGTGCGTCCTCAAAAATTAAAGTTTGCTCTTCGTTCGTATTCATAGTGGGAAAAATGAAAGTACCAACTTAAAAACTGTTCCTACCTACAGGCAGGTAATTTCCACTTGTGTAATTTTCCCGATGGGGTATTTCCACACCAACTCCACAAAATATATAAATTCTTTCATCTGTTCCAAGAGTGAGCGTAAAATTCAGCTTAAAACAATTCATTCCCCACCCCGCAGCCTGCTGACATCATCAGCTTTTCTAATGTGTCCCCCCATAAAAATTTCCTCACATTCTAACAATCATCTAATTGAAACCGAGATGAGATCAACCGTACTAGCCCACACCGAGCTCAGCCCGAAAAAATCCCATTCAATACTAGACTTGGAACCAATTCCACCCCAGGCAGAAATAATTGCAAATACATAAATAAATTGATGGTGGATTGTGTGTTTGCCGGGGCTTTAAAGCATAATAAATTTTGAATGCGCCATTAGCATGATTTATGCCCATTTAATTTTTCATAACAATGAAAAGAGCACAACAAGGACGCGCAGGACACGCGGGATGACAAACAGGACAGGCCGGCATTAGCAGGACAATAGAGCAGGAAGTTTCGAAAGCGAAGGGAACTGCGCTCCTCATAAACAAGAGTGCATAAAAAATGCCGCGAATGAGGCGACAAGCGGCAACATAATTGAATAGTAAAAGCGTTGCACTGAAATTAACCACCACAAAATGACGCAAATAATGTTAAAAGGGTGGGTGGAATGGTCACTGCCATGTACGGACGATTAAATTTCATTGAAATTGAATTACATTAAAAAAGAGGAGGAAAAAAAAATATAAAGGAAGCCGAGGAGCAAAGTGCAAAAGGCAAACGTTTCAGTCGGCGGGTCCTGCAGGACAATAGTGCACAAATTAACTTACAAAAGCTAAATAAAAATTGCCAACGCGGCAGTCAACGTGTTGTGTGAATGGGTGGGGTATATATGGGGTATATCCTGACTGGAAGCATTTTCCTTTCATCCTCTGGCCATCTGCCTTAATTTCAGCCGCCTTTCTTTGCTCTGCCCTCTGCAGTTTATACGGCTTTGGGTCTTTGGGCTTGTTTATGCCAAGTTCTTATCGCGCTCATTGTCAACCCACCGAGCAAACAAAATAAGCAGCCCGAAAACGAGTTGCTTATAAAGTAATTTGCGGATTTATTAAAAGTTTTTAGCGCCTTCAGACGCACTCTTTGTCGGAGAGTTGGAAAACTGGAAAAGGCTGCTTTTCTTTCGAGAGACTGCGGCCAATTAGTTTGCCTAATTCCTGAGGTGAAACGCAAAACGCTTTAATTGAATTCTGCGGTCTGGCTTGGCGGAGGGCGCAAACAGTTGAGAGATATTTAATCAGTTAAGGAAGTCGGGAGCTTTTGGTTTTCGAGATCAGCTAACTGAATAGCAAATATAATAACATTTTAAATTATTTAATAAAACATTTTAAATGATATTCTAAATAATAGAAATATTTTTAAATGAACTAAATATAGCACGATAACCTTTAAGATCCTCTAACTTTATTTTTTGCTTATCTCAATAGATGATTTAAATATTATCCCACCAGATGTTGCTTTTTTGCGTGGGTGGGTTAACTTAACTTCCTTTGTACCAGTTTTCCTCGCCCAAATAAATCAAAAGGGAACTCATCACCACACGACAAAACAGCAGCAGCAACATAAATCTACTTGACGCAGCGAGACCCCAACTTCAGACTCCCCAACTTCCCTTCGCAGCGGGAAACACCCAACCGAGTGGGTGAGATTTATGAAACAGTCAAGTATTTTCTATTTAAGTTAATAACAATCATAATAATGGCAACGGGAAAATTGATGCAGCTTGGTGAACTAAGAGAAGGGAGGGAAAGGAAGGAAATGGGCGAGGGAAAAGGAAAAGTGGAGCCATTTCGCCCACACACCACCTGATGATAGATGATAGATGATGTGCATATAAGCGCAAATAAACACAAGATTCGCTCTTGTCTACGAAAATAAGTTCCATTTTTTCTTCCAGCTCCCCATGTTGCAAGTTCAGCGGGGAGTCCTTGAAGGGGAGGGGGTTTTCCTTGGCTGGGCGAACGTAATAAGCTGTTAGGTGTCCTGTAAGTCTGCATGTGTTCAGGGTAAAAGTCTTTGCATATTTGAGCAGCTCGTCGTCTCATTGTACTTTGTGCATTTCTGTGACATTCGCTTAAAAATTCCATTACACTAAGCTCGAATTACAAACATCAGCAATGGGTACAGCACAAACGACGGGTGTTTTGGGTAAATATCTTAATGGGAAAATCGCAGACTATATTCTGTATTTTGTTGTTGTTTTTTTTAAGAAAATAATATTTTCATAAATTTTGTTCTATTTTCTGTGCTATATACTGTGCAAAATTTTTAAACTAAGATCATATTTTACACGACATTTGTGTTACTTTTTTGAAGAGTATCGCAAATCTTATTTCAAGCTGCGTTGAGCACACAAAATATGAAATATATCACAATGGCAGTGGCTTTTCCGAAATATACCGACCATTTCTAGACTCCTCCTCCTCAAGGCCCTCCAAATATCATTTCACTTTTCATTAAGCTGCGAAGAGCACTCGAGCATCTGTCAGCTTGTGATTTTCGATGCCCTGCGGCTGAACTTACTCAACACCTTGAGATATTTTCAATTTCTGCAAATTTTCCGCACAAAATACGTTCAAATGGCGTTCCAAGAAGTTTGTAATCAAATTATATCTGTGTATTTAGCAACAAGTTGAACAACAAATTTCCATAGTAGCCCAAAGGTTGGGAAAATCAAACAAATCTACGACAAGGGTCTAGTGAAAATGCCTGCTGGCAGCTTTTTTTAATTTTTATTTTGGTCTGTCCAAAATCTTTGATTTTTCCCCGAAAGTGAGTCGAAGTACAAACTGATGGATTGCGGTTAGCCTCAGGATATTTCCTATCCTATCCCTTTCCCAACACTCCACGCCACTCAGACTCATTAAATTTTTAATCATCCTGTTGTTTGTAGCCTAACCATAACTGTCAATAGCAATTAGTGGGGGGTAGGACCAAAATGAATTTGTATCCCCACAACTTGGGCAAAGTGTTTGGGCCTGGTCCTGTGGATGCTTGGTCAGGACTTTGAGGTCAAGACAAGTCAATTATGCCGCAGGCGTGACCGTGCGTACATCAATTTAATTATAACTCCTCAGCTGGCTTTTAACCGAGTATCTATACTATTGAGCTTTTCGAGCTAACTAAAGCGGTTAAAGATTAGTTATCGAGCTGAATACACAGGAAAAATAATATTTACAAAAATAAGAAGGCATTCTATAACAAAAAAAAGTATATTTTAATTTATTTTTATTTTATAATTTTAAAAGGATTGTTATTCATTTTATAAATACTTTTCTTTATATTTATTCTATTCTATTTATATTTTTCTTCAACAATTGGTGTTTAGAAAATAAACTTTTAAAAATGTTTAATATTAAATTTAAAGAATTTTGCTTCAGTGTTCTTACTGGCTTTGTGTATGTATTTAAGCACGACTGACTGAAGGAGGGGGATTCCATTGATTCCTTTAACATGAGAATGCCAAT